AAAATCTGACTGACATGTACGTTTTATTGTCATCGGTCAGTCATTACTCATTACGTATTTGGAATTTAATGTAAACAATAAGGGCACTAGCACCAAGTTCTTAATTTGATTGAAATACCATGAATATGTTATCAAAAGTGAGTATACTGTTTAAATCAAATTAAGAAATGTGGTGAAAGTGTGAAGAAGTCCTATAATAGCGAGTACAGAGCCCTTAGTAAGAGTTTAAATGACATGTATAAAACTATAGGGAATATGCGTGTGATTTAAATAAAGGTGAAATATTTTTTTATAATCTCTATTGCTTTTGAATTTAGCCTTTATTAATATTTTTTTTGATTAAAAAATAAATATTTGAAAGTGCAAATATAGGTACGAAATTCAAAATAGTTGAAACGGCCGCCATTGGTCAGACCAAATGTGACGTTAGAGTATATCAGAGCGATTAGCCATTTTGTCGTTTACAAATTGCGTCGTCATTTTCTGTGTATATCATACAGTGACGTCACGCCAAGAGCGCGAAGTGACGGGCGTTTAAAGTACCCATATCGATATGTTTTTATTTTCATTTTTACTAAATTTTAGTTTTTTGGAGTTGGGTATATTTTTTTTCGATTATATAACGAATTAAGCTATTGTATAAAAAAAATCACGCATATTCCCTATTACGTACGAATTCTGCTTTTTTACATAATAACAAATACGAAATCTTAATAACATCTAAACTCTTACTAGGCCTTGAAAGTCATAATTCGCATAATTGTATTAATTTATAATAATAATTAGTTACTATCGATGAACATTATCCTTAACGAAGGTGAAAATTCTTAGTGTTATTAGAGTAGTAGTATACGAAAATACTTTTTACAGTAGACATATTCTTATAAAAGACGTCAATTGACTAGTGAGGCAAAATATTGTGATTAAATTACTTATGTTAAACAATTATAAATATTGTACGTATTATGAATAATATACATGCTATTGTCAGTGCCGGATTTAACCTTACCATCGCCCCTGGGCATAGTAAAAAATGCCTCACAATTATTATTGAAATTTTGCATAAAATGGGTACTTTCGATAAAGTATTTTTTTTTGAAAAATGCAAAAAAATAATTTATAAAAGATTTCAATTTTTCGAAAAATGTAGTAGGTGGTTATTTTTTTTAATTATTATTTTTTTGAAAAATAAAAAAAAAGCATTTTCGATAAAGCGAAGAGAATTTTTTTCCCACCCTCCGAATTTTGCCCCCTCTAAAAATTTGCCGCCCTGGGCACTAGTCCCGAGTGCTCCTAGTGTAAATCCAGCGCTGGCTATGTGACAATGTATTATATTATATAGTCGATCGATCACATTGTGATACGATTTATTAGTCGAGATATACATTTTTGAAGTTATACTTCTTTTGGCACGTTTGGAAAAAAATATGACAGTAAAATTTTTACGATGCGCGCGCAAACCGACAGCCAAAAAACGACATTATGAAGTTGGCTGCATTCCTTTTACAAACAGAGAGTTGCGACATACGGGATGAAATCTTTAGCTATTTTTGTTCTGTTACGCTAAAGAAGTATAACTTCTTACGTGCGTACAAAGTACGCAAGCACGTTTTTTTATCATTGTAATATAAAATAATACCTAATAAAATTAACTAAAAAGGTGGTTTTGCTTAGCCAATTTTATTTGAACTAAGCTGCGTGCGTACTTATTGATGAGGCAATAAATTTACGTATTTTTACAGAAATAATATAAAATCAGGATTACCGAACCTTATACATTTTATAGTTGTCATGTGCATACAGATACCATATCTATGAGATTTTTAACCTATTTTATGTGTTTTAACCGAATTTGAAAAAGAGAATATTCTCATTTAGGGCACCTATAACTATATGTCTGTATTTTAATTTTTAGTATGTATGTGTTAGATTAGATTGCATTAATTTTCCGTTTGTAAAATAAAGATTATATTTAAATTTAATGATAAAATTATCGCCAAAAACTGCGGTAGGGATGGGTAAGATTTTATTTGAAATAAGACAGTTTATATCTACATGAAATTTTGGCAAATTTTCAGTCAGTTCCAATTTTATAATGAACTTGAAATTATATAAAATTAATTTTCCATTTTTTACTCATAATTTAATTGTTTGGCAATATATGCATACATAAAAATTAGAAACAATTTAAAAAAAACATCTTATATCTACGATACAACTAATAACATTTTACATCATATATTATATGATAATAAAATAATATGTTAGGAATTTCGTACTCTTTGTGTGTTATACGTATTTATATAATATGGCACAAAATAGAAACGATAGTTAAAACGCATTAAAAATTTTAAACACGAATTATTACATACATGCATAGAGTTCATTAAATTATATTAATATTTAGTCTATGAATATTGTTAATAATAAAATAATAAGTGAAGGACAATACTTCATTCCATTACTGGAAACAAACCCTGGTTACCTTTGTATATAGTGCGAACCTTACATAAATAATAATTACATATAAAATATGATCAATCAATCGTTATTAGAACATTATCAAAAAGAATTCATCAAAAGCCCAAATATATATTATGTACTTAAAGGATATATTCATTACATTAAGTTAATTGATTATTTTTTTTAAATATAATTATCAAATTAAAATAATTTAAGTAACAATTCAAAAGAATATGAACATATATAATTTGTATAAAAACATTAATATGAATATTTAGATTTAAATAAAAGGCGTTTAAAAATGTGAAATGTGAATATGTTCTACTTTATATAGTGACATTTTTTGTGCATTTTATTCTATTAATTATTTTACATTAATTATAAGACAAATTTCAATTTGAAGCGTTTGCATTTTGATAGCCAAATCGAGTCATTAATGTGCTAAATAATTAAATCCTTTAAAGTACCAAAGGAAATATACATAAATACCATTTACAATAAGAAATATATTTGAATTGGCTCTTCATCTCTGTCTGTCTGTTCAAAATCATATTACAAAACATATTTTATTCCCAACATTTAATGATAATAAACTAAGACTGGAGTTTAATGATCGGCAAACATCTCGAGAAACCAATACATACCGCGTACTCAGATTTATAGTCCATTCGCGTTAAGAAAATAGTGAGTCATCAAGTGCATCGGCAGGTAAAGGTGTATACTTACAAAGTGGGAGTAAAAATTCAATTCAAATTCAATATTTCAAAAGATTAAGTTTAATGGATAAAAATCAACTTAATTATCTTAATTATCTCAAATCTGGATTTGAGATGATAATGACTTTATTTTGATTTGAGATAATTATGTTCATTAAAAATATAATATTTAAGTATGCTTTCAACCGGTCATTGTGAAATATGACTTTATAATTTTATGCAACTTAATTGATCGGGGGGCGTGGCTAGGCCGATGGACATCGATGACTCACTATTTCCTTAACGTGAATTAAGTCAGAATACAGAACAAACAACAAAGAAATTGTTTTGTATTCTGAGACCTCGTACGCGCGATAAAAGAAACGAAATTATATTATCCCTTTGTGCAGCGGAGGCATTTGAATATATATCTATTCGATTTTTAAATTATTCAAGATATTTTTGCACAATTGGTATTCGCACATATCAGTCAGGTCAAAAATCACGACATGTCAAAGATCGTGTGACGGATTTTAAACTATCTTTGCTACGCTTGCGTTACAAACATAGCATATTAATTAAAAAAAAAGGAAAATATAAAGTATTGCTATTCAGAAAACGTATGAAGAAAAGGGTTGAGCAAGGGAACGATGTATAAATAATTGAGCATTTTATGAAAATCTTTGAACCTATGGCGCCTTATATTAACAATTGGGCAATCAAGGTTCTTTTTGTCGTTCAAGTTCAAGTACAAGATTTTTCGTTCATTTTAAGCCTGATAAAGAAACCTGTGACTAAAACAGAACAGAATGAAGTTATATTTTACACAATGCTATTTGAGTACATTCTAAGAGATTATAGATGATGGTAACCGGTAACGGGATGATGGAATGGTGAATAGAAACTATTGATAGACCATATTTCATTAATACTTGACATCTGAAACATGTGTTTGTCTGGTAATTTCCCTATTAGATAGGACTTTGTAAAGTAATGTTATATAGGGTCATGGAAACTGGAGTCTGGGCCAATGTCTAATGGGCCAATGGCTATAAGATCCAGATCTTATAAAAGCCCTCCAACTGTACTTCAATTCATTCACCTAAATTTAAATCTAGCGCAAATATGGTATTTGACGCATACACAAAGAACAGTTTTATTTCATTGGCAGCAAAAATAAGTTTTACAATAATAATAAAAAATTGCAATTGCTAAACTAAAATGATACCCGTGTACAATAATACCTCTTTTTTTAATATTTAGGTTTTAGATGGCAAATTTTTTCGATAGTGCTGAAATGAATTACCCTTTTTCATGATATGGGTCTTAAATATGTTGAAAGTAGACACAGAATAACGTAGAGTTTGTTTACTTAAAAAATCGTGTGAGATAAGTTTTTCAAATTAAGAACACCTTCTAAACTGAATACAGTAAGGCCGGATTAAGGTATTGACCAAATATATCAATTTTCGAACATTTAAACCAAATCCTAAAAATTTCGTCTTAAGGATCAGATTTAAACTAGCAGGCATAGCAATAATTTATATTCGCATTGTGCTTATTTTTAACTTCATTTTAATTATTCATGAATAAAAGTATGTTTATACGAGAAAGGGATATTTTAACAAAAAATTGATTAACAATTACCTATATTATTCATTAGGCAAAGTTTAAAACAACAGCTTTAAATCACAAAAATATGTCGAAAGATAATTAAAAAATAGTTTTATTCATAATTATTTATATCATTTTGTGTATAAGTCCAGAAATCACAAATAAAAAATATACTATCAACATAATTTAATCTATGGTTTTTATTATTCCATACATACTTTTCATTTAGTTTAATAATTGTAACCTGTTGTCATAAATGTATGGATCTGTTAATGGCACAAGCAAGTAACACCATAAAATCAACCCAATCACAAAATTACTAAGAATAATCACACGAGGAAAAGGTGGAAACTCAAATGCTGCAAAGAAGTGAGGGAATCCTAGATGATTACAAAATATGTGGGCAACTAGTGGTGCGAAAAAGTGTCCTGAAAAGTTAATTATAAATAATTATTTTTAATTTACTAAAAGTGATGTCTTTAATACACTATTAAAAAACTTTTATTCAACTTTTAATAAACTATTATTCTATGGTGTACTTTTATATATTTGAACATTTAACTTACCTGTTCTCAAAAACAAATATGCTGAATAGGCACCAAATACTGTTGTAAATGAGAATTGGAAACCTAGAATAAAAAAAGTTGGATTACATATTTGTATACCATTGCTAAAAATGTTGCACAATAAATGGAATAATTATTTATTGTCAAATAAATGTCATACCAGAGATAAATAAAGCAGACTTAAATGAACGCCCTGCAGCCATAAGCTCATATAAATGATGAAAATGAGCTGAAAATAAAATTATATCTATTTTAATGCATTCTATATTAATATTATTACAAAGTAGAATTTAATAATTACAAAAATCTACTAACCAATCCCAAAAAGGAATGGTCCAATGAACACAGCTGTGAGTGGATCAAGACACTGTAGTAATAGTGGCATCATACATGATCTAAACACCCATTCTTCACTTAAAGGAGCCATTATGTGGTTACGCAGCCACACCAAATTTGTCCAATTAGAAAACCAGTAAAATGGATCTGTAATTTCAATTCAATGGTCTAGTCAAGTATTAAAAAATGTGTATGTTGATTTATGTAACTTAGTAATTAATTAAAATAAAATTGTAGACAAACATATTGTTAAATATTTATATGGTAGAAAAGTAATACAAAGTTTTTTCATTTATACCTGAATACAATTTCCATGTTCCAGCAAAAAAATGCATTGTCAGGGGCCCCAAAAATAAAGTAGCGGTTAAGAGCAAGGGAACAAATAATGCTGCTATCATGCCAGGTATTCTGAGGCCCATATAATCATATATATTTCCATTTTTCAAAGTTTCTTCTTTTACAAGCGCATATGTAAAAAAAGGTGCTAGAAACATCATACAAATGACACTGAAAAATCTCCTTTTGATTGTAGTTGGGTGGTCTCTGAAACACAATTATGGACATACTTATACATGTCTTACAAATTATATTTGCTAATTGCTAAGCAATCATGACTACGATATACTTAACTAACCTGCTTAAATTAGACCTCCAAATATATAAACTTCCAACGTAAGAAAATGTAAGGAATACACATGTTAATATAGAAAATAAACAACTATTTCTTTCTATTAAGTGCGTGAGCCACATTTTGTAAATTGAAATGAATTAATTTATTTTTTATCACATGAAAAATAAAAATTTATACAAAATAATACAATGGATACATAATGGATTTGACAATTGATAAATTATTTACTATTTGACATTGACATTTAAAATTAAATGACATTTGAAAAAATCTGAAGTGATCAGATTATTATATTACTATAAAATACAAAATTAAAGAGAAGCAAATTCAACATTAGTCAGAAAAATATTTTATTATAAAACAATAAATGAATTCTATAAAAGACCTTTTATTTCATTATGCTTAGATGAAGATTAGGGAATTTCGTGAAAGGAGGGCGCCACACGTATAGTCTATTTACATTCAGTCTGAGGTTAACAATTTATTATGATATCTCTTTTGTATCTGGTTTTTGCTTTTATTGTGTTCGTATCTTACCTGTGTAATATTATTTAATTAAATAATTTAATTTTATATTTTTATACTATATATATTATATTTTCAGCTGAAGAACTGAGAAGGAGAGGTGCATCCTGCGGTGGTTCTGACTGACTAATGGATTAACACACAGCCTAAGCCTCTGGTCATAGAAACGTGAAATTTGAATTACGTATTTCTTAAATGATGTAGGCATCCGATAAGAAAGGATTTTTTGAAATTTATCTCATCAGTAGGTAAAATAGGGGATTAAAGATTGCATGAAACTCTGCCATTCTTAATGTGAAATACACAGAAATTGGTGTTTAGCTTTAAAATATAAATAAGAAATATATTTATTTGATTTTCTTCGTAATTCATTCCTTAATGTAAAACGGGGTTATAAAGTTTATAGGGGCAAAAAAATATTTATGATTAGAATGGCTTGAAACTTGGTATTAATGCTCTTCAATACATTAAAATAAATACGTGTTTTAGCATTTTTAGAAATTCAATCCCATAAGGGGGTAAAATGGGAGATGAAAGTTTGTATGAAACTGTGTGATTAATATGTAAAAAAGTACAAAAAATAAGAAAAATATTTAGGTACTTGTAGATGTTTAATGACTTTTAAAATCACTTTCTGTAAAGTGTCCACATAGCCTTATATAACAAGATTGTGTTTTCGCCAATTTTAGTCTTTTTATTGCTTTAGCCCACAATTTCATCACTTTTTGTTCTTTTGAAGAAATGATATAAATTTTATTTGCAGCCTGGCACTAAGCATTGTCATTTTAATTAAATTTTAAATAAATTGAAAAATTACCATCCACGCTATAGAGCTTTACAATATCTTCTTCTTCTTCTTCTGACGCGGCTTTATCCGCACTTAGGCATCTTTGCCCGTTGTGCGTGAGCTTGTGCTGCTGTGTGTGTTATTCTTTCCATCCCAGAGCGTCCCAGTAGTCTAGCAGGCTGCCGGTGGCCTGGAAGATTTCTGGGATCGATCTATAGGGGCCGAGTTTTTCTTCGCGTAATTGATCCAGTGCACTACATTCAGTTAGGATGTGTGCTGGTGTTTCATCTTCTTGGAGGCACGCTCTGCAGAGGGCGCTGTCCGTGTGACCTATGTTAAAAAGATGTTTATTGAGTTGGCAGTGTCCTGTTATCAGTTCCACCACCGTTTTTAGTTTGGGTCTATCTAGGCGTGTTAGTTTCATTGTTAATTGTTTGTTTAGTGTGGGGAAGGCTTCTTTTGATTGACGGCACTCCGTATTAGCCTTCCATAATGTGTTAACTATGTTATCGGTAAAGTCCCGTAACCATGTTTTGTATTCACAATGTGGAATTGGAGATAGAGGTGTTGGCCCCTGAACTTTCAGTCTAGAGGCCTGTTTGGCTAGGTTATCGGCAGTTGAGTTGCCTTTGTTATTTGTGTGACCCTTTACCCAGGAAACCTTTACTGTGTTAGTATGGGAAAGGTGTTCCAACGTTTTGTGACATTCTAATATGTATTTTGATTTTGTTGTGTTTTTGGTTAGTGCTTGTAAAACCGTTTTGCTGTCGGTTTTTATGTGTATTATTGAATTTTTTATCGATTTATTTAGTAGTTCTTGTGCTCCAATTGTGATGCCAACGCATTCTGCTTGTAGCACTGTGTTGTACATACCCATGTGGTGGTTGGTTTTGATATTGAGAGTAGGGCAGAATATACCTACACCTACTCCTTCCTTGGATTTGGATCCATCTGTGTAGATGGTGTGGATTGGTGCCGTTGTTGGGCTGTTGTCTACATTTCCATCATCTGATGGGTTTATAGTATAATGTTTTTCTATGATGTGTGTTTTACTTATTCTGTCGTTTGGCCATTTGAGCTGTGGAAATTCTGCCTCATAGATTTCGAGGATCTTTGTGTGTTTGCCCAGATTGCGTTTCCATGAATTGACTGATTCTAGTCTTAGAGCTGACAAGGCAGCTTCTTGTTTTATAAAAATGTGTAGAGGTGGTATGCCCAGAATTATTTCTAGGGCAGCCGATGGAGCGGTTTTCATGCAGCCTGTTACTGCTAACGTGGCTGTTCTTTGGAACTTTTGAAGTTCGTTTTGGATTGTGTGCAGTTCTGTTCTGGGCCACCAGACTACACTGGCGTAGGTGAGGGATGCTCGTACCACCGTGGTGTAGAGCCAGAGCATTGTTTTAGGTGTAATGCCCCATTGTTTCCCTACCATGCGCCTGCATTGGTTCAGTATCTTGTGGCTTGAGGTGATTTTGTTGTTAACGTGTGTGTTCCAACTGAGTTTGCTGTCAAGCGTTACACCTAAACACAGACAGAGCTTTACAATATACTGAATAATATAAATAATAAAAAGGCAAAAATTCTTCCCCATTCTAGACTGTTTCAAATAAGCGCAGATATTAGAATTGTGAGCTTTCTTTTGAGGACACTTGAGATACTGGCTATGTATATTGGGTTTTTCTATATCAATGACCTAAGTAAATAAAATTAAGAACATAATGTTAAAGATCGATCGGTTATTTAAAAGAAATTGTAACAAAAATTCTTACCAGTAAAAATAATCCCTACCAACCAAACAAGCAAAGTATCAAAAAATTAATTCGAACGCAGTAAAGAAAAAAAACTTGGTTGTTTTTTGTTAGGTGGCGTTAGTATCGCCCCGCCATGTTAAATCCGAAATCCGCCATATTTTTCTTACAGAGAGTCGCCCTTCGCTTTAGGGTAGTGTGAATTTTTATTGTAATTTGTTAAATAAGGTTTTTATAAGTTAACAGTTAGCATATTTAATAGCAGTGATTAGTGTTGTATATGTGAAATATTTAAATAATTGCTCAGCAGTGACTGATGTGGTATAATCTTGATTTCCTGTTTCGGTTCCCCAATCTATTCTAAACAGAAAATGGCCGACGGTGTTGGTGCGGGTGTCTCCTTTGTTTAGACTGAATTCTTGTGAAAATAAGAAGCAAAAGAAATAATGCCTAGTGCCTCCTTTTCTTCTTCGCGTTCTTACGTCCGTAGATCGCGAAGAAAAGGTGGACATCGAATACCACTGCCTTCCAGGACACAATCGAGTAAGTTATCCGGGTCGTCTGATGTTGTCTCCAAGTATTACAAATGGCTCATTATCGACATTTCCATTACATCGCAAAGTTTTAAACGTGCACTCATTTAAGTATTTAAAATTTTCGTTAATATTAAATGCCAAACTTATATGCTTTCATAGTATTTGACTAATTCGATACAAATTTACTCGGATTTGAAAAAAAAAATATGTTTCGTCTATCATTGTTATACTTTATGTTTAATTGTATGCATATGCTTTGTGAATTTTCAATTTCTGCACATCGATAATATTGTATAGCGCATTTCTGTGACATTTTGCGCAATATGAGTATTGATTTGGAAGATGAAGACTAATTTTATACAACATGACGAAACAGCTGTTCGGAAAAGATGGGATTTGAATGCATTTAGTAGCAAATTAAAAATACTGTATAATATTGTAGAATAAAATAATATTCTTCAATATCAATTATATTGATTGATACATTGTTTTTGAGAATGTCATTCTAGATGTAAACAAAAGATTTCTCATGATGAGGTGAATAAACTTCTTTTACAGACAATTATGAGCTTAATAATATAAAATCAATGGTATTTGAAATTAAGTCATTGTATTAATGTGTTTAGCTTCATAAATAGTTTAATTTTAAAACACATTTATTGTTTTATAATATATCTTGACCATAGTTATAGAACATTTTCTATTTATTAAAAAAAAAATATTTTTTAAAATAAAATAGAGCAAATTGTGTTAAGATTTTTGATAAAAATGTGTCATAATATGGTGTGTCAGATTTGAATATAATTACAAATAAAGGTTTTGGATTAATGGTTCAATATTTACTAAGATTTAAGACCAATTTTTAACCTACTTAGCCTTATCAATATACCTTAATCTGAAATCAGCTAACTCCACTTCAGCCATCTTTATAAGGGTACAAAAATTTAAATATTTTAAAAATACCTATAACAAATTGGGAAAAATATAAATATTATTTAATAATAATATATTATTTTCAATATGTATTATTAATATGCACCATGAAAGATAGAGATGAGATAGATTTAGCCGATTTGCCAATTAAGGCATCATTATAAAGAATATAATGTTACCATTACACTTGCATTGTGTCTTTTTAGATAAAAAATATAATGTTTAATATGTATTGTTAAATAATTTTTGTAAAATTTATATAGTATTGTCATTATTTACCATTCATATATATAACATATTTGAATAGTTAATAATATTAATAAAGTGCCTATAAGTACAATTAAACATAAATATACAGTTTTACTAGAAATTTCTACTTATCTATTATACATTTAGATAAAGGGGTTACATTAACATCAAAATTGTTAAATCAAATTTACATATATATTTAAACAGAAAGTAGTGCTTAAAAGTTTATTTTTTAGAATACTATTTCTTAAATAGGTCAGGTTTTTGGCAACTAATCAACATTTTGTCTAATAAAAGAATCACCTTAGTACTTATTTTATCTAAGAAATAATAATGATATACATGTATACTCTAATTGTTTAATAAAAAATTATATTTAAATTTTTTTATATAATTTCGACTGATAGTTGATTGTAGAAACATAAATAAAGGTTGATTTTGTTGTTATTATATTTTTAGTAAAATCTATGTTCAATTATTTTTCTATATTGTGGAGAAATCTGTTCTGTAGATATAGATTTGGCACAGAATACAATATTAAAATGTATAATAATATTATTATGTATATTGAAGAACTTATATATGTATTCTCTTTTGTATACAAATGTCAGATGAATCAAATATAAAAACCTATATTCCTCAATTATCCACTAATAAAAAAATATATTGGGACTTAATACACAGTACTATCTAGTTTCATGGTAAGCTATGAGGCTTGTGTTATGGATACCAAATAGTTGATACACTACACATATATAACTTTAAACACATACATATAATAAATATAAACATTTGATGTTTGATGACGACACATTTGGCTCAGTGTGTAGTGACAATACTTGCTGTGCTAAAGGTCTCGGATTCGAGTCCCGCTGGAGGCATTCATTTGTGTGATGAACAGGAATGTTTGTACTTCAGTCATGGGTGTTTATATTTATAGTATGTATGCATTTATGCATTTAAAGTTATACATGTGTAGTGAATCAACTATCTGGTATCCATAACACAGGCCTCGTAGCTTATCATGGAACTAGATGGTGCTGTGTGTTAATGTCCCAGCATATTTATTTATTTATTATTAAACACCCATGACTGGAGTATAAACATTCATGCTTATTACAGAAATGAATGTCCCAGCGGGACACCAACTTGCGACCGCTGGCTTAGCAAGTAGGGTCACTACAAACTGAGCCAAACACATAGTCAAACTGCCACTGTTTTGTCATTATAACTTAAGTCATTGAAAATATTTAATTTAATATAAATTGTGATATGTGGGTATTTGTAATGATAATTTAAATATTTTTAGTTATGTAAAGAAATGATAACAAAAATATGCCAACCTAAATCACGCCATTCTCATACTCTATAATCACTCTACTTCCTGAACCATCACAACAATAAATAACTAAATCATTTACAAAAATTTTCCAGGTGAACCATGTGAGTCAGTGCCGTGCCCCAACAACGTAACGGGTAGCGCTATGGCGGCGACCGCGTGTGCGGGACCCAGTGGCAGTGGCGGTGGGGGATCACCGCCCGTGCCAGCCGCCGCCGCCGCCACCACCGCCGGCCACCACAGCCCTTACGACCTGCGCCGCAAGTCCCCGCCCGCGTACCACGAGCCCGGGCCGTCGGGTGCCTGCTCGCTGCCTGCCAGGAAGAGGCCTAGGACGTATGTATATAGAAATGTTATCTAGATATACTATCCAGTTAGGCAATTAGAATGTAGTGATAGAATTTAAATTTTACTGAATTTAGGATTTTGAATGAAACAACATGACTACTATGAACTGAGAATAAAACCAGTTAACTTCTGGGTTGATAGGCCAGTTAAGTAACTAGCAAGCACAACACTATTGACAGTCTGTTGTCAGTTCTGTCATATTATAATAACAGAAGATACTCTGATGAAAATTTGAAGCAATTATACAGAACTAAAAGCCAAGACTTGGCTTTCCTACTTGGACGAAATTAATTTCATGTCGTATAAAATTTGAAGTAGACTTCAGAAATTTGTAATCATTGTAGAAATAATTATAATTTAACCAATTTGTTAGAAACTAAACATTCAAAAATATGTTAAATTTAAGTTGGCATATTTTAGAGTGTCATTATGGGAATTTGTATGAAATTAGCTGAGGTAGATTGTTTAGCCTAGTGAGTCATTTCAGCGTAGTAGTGGTAATTCTTGCATCACTAGCGACCCAACCACTTCAGCCATGTCCTAATTACTTCCAGTGACTATTAAAATCTCATCGCAACCACGACTTTACTTACGAAGTTTGCTCAAATTGTTACAACTTATACCCACGTAACCAAATGTAAAAACTAACCAGACAAATATTTTCAAACTAAAAAATATTATCATATAAAGAATTGTAGAGTTAACAGACAAAATGCACACACAGACTGACAGGCGGAGACCTTGTGTTTATAATATGAAACTAGCATTGCCCGCGGCTCCGCCCGCGTTCAGTTGACCAAGAACCAAATTCTTAGGTTTTACATATTAGTATACTCTTACGTTGCAGTTTTTGTATTTTTTCTCAGAAATGACATATTTTCCCGCGGTAAAAAGTATCCTATATGTTGACCAGCTATCACCATACCAATTTTCATCAAATTCCCTCCAGTGGTTTTTCTGTGATGCGGTAACAGACAGACAGACAAGAATTCTAAAAACTAGATTAGGCCTCTGTATCGATAACAATGCTTATTTCAATAAGATTTTCCAAAAAAATATTTAATGTACAGATTCGGCTTACTTACAATTTTATTATATGTATAGATATGAACATGTAGTGTACACAGTTGTTGTTAGGAACAGAAGTGTCAACATATATTTTAAATGATAATCATAATCATTGTCTTAATAATGATGTCAGAGATTTCAATGCCTATTAATAAATTATGCTTTCACATATGGACAATGGTGATGTAGGTCAAAGTTTAATATAAATCTAATATTTGAATGAGGTCAATACTAAAAATATACATTTGCGTTTGCAAGTATGATTCTAATCTGAACTGATGTACATAATTGAATAATCATGAATACCATAACAACATAATCGAGAATCGTTTCTTTCTAGAAGTAATCTCAATTTGTGAATTATGCACATAAATAACAAATGTGACATTCCTCATTTTGAGAAAAACATAACATTTAACCTAACATTTTTAATTGTTTATTTTGTTAGATTTGACTTAATGAATCTTCTTTCTTTCTATAATATAAAAATGAATCGCTGAATGTGTTGGTAAGCGCAAATCTCGATAGCAGCTGAACCGATTTCGTTAATTCTTTTTTTAGAATATTCCTTGAAGTACGAGGACGGTTCTTACGGAGAGAAAAATTAAAAGAATTGCCTGAAAAAGTCTAAAAACAACACTTTTCTATACTCCCATACAACAGATTGGTAATAATACTTAAAAGTCAATTTGAACTTTTATACCATACCATAAAGTTTAAGTGTTAGTGGAGAGGTTTCGGGAAGGCAAAACAATTGAGTGACGTTATTATCGTATAAATATTAATGTCAATATTTGTCAATATTATTAACAAAAAAAAAATATGACTAACGCTGGCTAATAACTATTTATATCTATTTAAATCGTACCTAGTGACGAACCCGAGTGAAGCGAGGGTAAGCCGCTAGTACTGAATATTTTCATAAGTACCAAGTATTTTGTGATATTTAATGGTAATTGATAAAAATGAAATATAAAACAGTAAAACCATATATAAAACATTTTGAAAGGGCTTTCACTGACAGATAGCAGATGTTGTATAGAGTAACTTGGGCTACTTTATTTTAGTAAAAAAATAATGGTTCGGCCAAAAAATATTAAAATCCATGAAATTGTAAATAAAATCCGCGCACCCGAGCGAAGCGAGGGTAAGTCACTAGTTCAACAGAATTATCAAAAGCTTTATGACAATAAAGTTCATGATACTAATAATAATAATATCGTAAATTTTTTTGTACACTCATTCAGTGTGTTTTCCTCTTTGATATGGTTATTCATTTCAATTATTATCTCTTAATTCCTTTCAATTCAAACACGATAAACTAGAACAAATGATATAATTTAATAACCATTGTAAGTGTTACCCATGTAATTCATCATCAGTCGAAACTAGCTATCATTTATTTATATAAATTTGAAATGAAAAATGAAAAAGTAATGGTTAAATGACGTAAAACATATTATATTAAAAATTTAAAACTTTGACTAAAGCCACTTAGTATTTTTCGACCGACTTCAAATAGGAGGAGGTTCTCAATTCGACTGTATTTTTTTTTGTGTTTGTTACCTCAGAACTCCGTTATTTATTAACCGATTTGGTCAATTGTTGTGTTGTTTGAAAGTGTATACTTCCAGATTGGTCCCATTTAAATTTCAAAAAAAAATACCACCCCTATGGGTGGAAAAATAGCTAATGATGAATTTAACCTACTTCTAATTGTCATATTGACTTGAAACTTTGCAAATGTTTCTATTTCCGTTGATAGTACAGTGGTTCGGTATTGTTGACCTGATCTGATGGTAAGGCCAGAAGGTGGATAGGTGGAACTCTTCAACGGCTAATAGTAGATACTTTGAGTTTGGGCTTATTTTGTTTGATTTGCGTAACACGTTAGAATTCTTACTTTGCTACTACTGTCTACACTAAAAAGGGAAAAATAAAAACTTTTTAACAAAAAAATAAAAACCGACTTCAAACAAAAGCACTAAAAAGTAAAAAATAACTGATTGGTAGTTTTCATTTACTATATATACCTAATCAAATATTTTCGAAGTCGGTGTGCTTTTTATTTTTTTGTTAAAAAGTTTTTATTAAACAACGAAATAAAAAGGTGGAGGGTTTCAATTCGAAACGTATTTTTTTTAATATTTGATCACGCATAAGTTTTTACAGTGTAGTCCGATTTTAAGTTGGTATACTCACCTCATAGTTGGACAAAGTTTAAATTTGAAAAAATCCACCCCTAAGTCTATAAAATACGGTATGATTGATTTTTCACCTACTGAATTTTTAAAATACTTCTTACTTTGCTCTACTATGTCTACAATAAAAATGAAAAAAAAAAATTATGGTTTGATTTGTATCAGCTGGTACCGACTTCGAAAATATCTGATTAGGTATCTATAGTAAATGAAAACTACCAATAAGTTATTGTTTTTGTGTTTTTTGAGTCTGTTTTCATTTTTTTTTAAGTTTTTCAATTACTGTATTTAGATCAACTCAAATGATTTTATCACTGAAAGTCTTGTTGCCTGTTTTAAACATGCTTTCACTTACTGTAATGCAAGTATTTTCCCTATTGGGCACACTCTGCATGATTTTATTATTTTCATGTCTAGATTTATGATTAGAAAGTTGATTTATAATACAATGTTGAAATGGCAACATGAAACTTGTATTTATCTTATAGGACACTAGCGGACCCGACAGACGTTGTCATGTCTACACGTCTTTAATTTGAAAATTTCAAACTTTTTTTAATAATTTTTTTGATGAAAATTATTATTCAAATTGTGAATCTAAACCATTCCCAGATCCCCTTGAACACACACAAAAAATTTCATCAAAATCGGTCCAGTCGTTTGAGAGAAGTTCAGTGACATACACACTCACATATATAAAGATTAACACAAAAAAAATGTGTGGAAGTGCCATTCAAGTTTCATGACTTAATAATATCAGAAATATTGGAGGTGTCTATTCTTAGTATATCATTAGTGTGATTATATATTATTATTATATTCTAGGTTTCAAAATATTTTAATTTGAGGACTATGAGTTGAATAGTAAACATTCTGATGTTTAAATAAAAGAAGCATAAGAAGTGCTTCTCTCTCGAAAAAAAATTGTACTAATATGATATTTTTATATATATTTCAAGTATCATAAAGCAATTTATTTATTTACTAGCGACTTACTTAAAGGACAACTCTGCTAAACCAAGTTCAAGAGAGTTTCCTATGAGGTATCCTAAATGTTGATCTAAGGAACAACTAATAAGTTATCACTTATCACTACACAAAATATATTTAAAATCTGAGAAAAATTTCAATAGCTTTTGTAATTTTGGGTTCTATATTCTGTACACAATATATAACAGTAATTGTTTTTAAAAACATTTTACAGACTATTGACATTGTACAGATTTCGCTGTTATTATTTTACTATTTGTATATTATATATGTGTAAGATATCTCAAGAAAAGCCAGCATTATGTTTCAAAACTTATACATTTTAACTAGATTTCTTATTTTTTGCTTCAGTTAAAAATCAAGCATTGACCAATCCGCTCGGTTGTTTATTTCTTCTTTCTATTTTTAAAATGTTTTTTTATAATAATTTTTTTTTTCGGCTTGAACAATCTCGTCATTTTTAACTGCCTGATTTACAAAGGTATATCATAATTTGTGTGTTCGCGTCGGCAGTGTGGCCAGTATAATCAATTATTAATAACTGTTTTATTATAAATTAAAATAGCGAAACCTTACATATATGTATACAGAAATCCATTGCATATTGTAAATACCCAACCGTTGTTACAGATCTCTATCACAGGGCGTGGACGTGTGCAATGTGTCGCAGTACCTGCAGTACGAGCTGCCGGACGAGGTGCTGCTGTGCATCCTGTCGCACCTCACCGAGCGCGACCTGTGCCGCGTGTCGCAGGTCTGCAAGCGGTTCAACACTATCGCTAATGATACGGAGTTGTGGTATGTTTGATTTAGATTTTTATTGTTTTATATGAATTTGTAATTAACTATGTAATCGTCGTATTTCGGTAGTTGATTTTAGAGCTCCCTAAGTGTTGTAAATGTATCTACATTTACAAAACTTAGGAGCTCTAAAATATATAATAATTTTACTACCGAGCTTCAGATCTGATGATTTCAATGAGGTGGATAGTGAATGAAAAATAATAATGAATTCTTTAATGTATATTAATTGTAAAAAAAAAACACTTTTAAAACAGAAAAAGAGCGTGATTCTTTTGAAAATCTTTGTAATCTTCAATATACATTAGTAACTTTGGGCTTTATTATTTGACTAGCGGTTCGCCCTAGCTTCGCTCGGGTTCGTATCTAGGAAAACGAAAACAAACCTATCCCACGCCGTACATTTTTCCTGGAGCAAAAGTAGCCTATTTGTTATTCCAGACTATAATCTATCTCTGTGCTAAATTTCATCCAGATCCGTTCAGTCTTTCTGGTGTGAACGAGTAACATCCATACTCACAAACTTTAACATTTATAATATTAATATGGATTCTTCCCCTAAATAGATACAAAACTATATTAATTGAATCCATTTAAATTTATACCTTATGTTTTACACAGGAAAAGACTATACCAATCAGTGTTTGAGTACGACACACCCCTAATGCACCCGGCGCCGTGCCAGTTCGAGTTCGTGGCCGCTGACGAGTGCGACGCGGACAACCCCTGGAAGGAAAGCTTCAGGCAACTCTACTACGGCATACACGTGCGCCCCAACTACCGTCCCAAGAAGGACTCGCGTATTAAACACTTTAACACTATTAGGGTGAGTATTCAATATTTTTTGATGACTGTAGTGCAATTCTTAATGAGCTTTTATGTAATGTACTCAGCCCTTTTTTAACGTCCCACTGCTGGGCACGGGCCTCCCTTCAATACGAGGGGGATCAGGCCATAGTCCACCACGCTGGCCAAGTGCGGGTTGGCGGAATACGTAATTTTATGTAATACATACAACAGCTGAATCCGCGATTATACTTTTGATACAATTGTATGATAATATGTTACTGTTGAGTTACATAAACGTTTTAACGCAATAGCATTACATCGTAGAAGAGTTGTCATCAATGATAAGCTCACCAAACTGTGAAATTAGAATGAAATTTGGCATATTTAAAAATATATATATTAAGGGTGAAGACAATGAGGTTTATCTGTTTCATATTTTAATTGTAGGATTTGGTTATGTTAAACGAAGCTAATTGACTAAAATAATAGAATTATACCAATTTAATTTTGTACAATATATTATGTATACGAGAAAATAATAAATCTTTTTTTATTTAAAGCAACAAAGCGTGACATTTCTAATTGATCATAGCAAAGAAATTTATTGAAAATAAAAGTGTTTCTTCATACAAGTATTGGTTTAATCACGCATAAAGCGATTATCTATATTTAAAATATTTTTTTATAATGATTAAAATATTATTGCCAATTGCCTTTGGAAAAAATACGCTTTTTTTGTAGTATATTTAATTGATACTAGTGATCGCTCCATAGTTGAAAATCAACTATAATTCATTAAGTTTGATCGATATTGAGATTCTTTTGTTAAAGTTAAAAAGATAGCCCATACAATCCAAAAGAATTTTGTGACGGGCCCATAAATTTAGAGATTTGCACGTACAGACAAATAAACTTTTTATCTTTATATTCTTTTATCTTTATATTGTTTGCTTGTCCTTCCTTCATGTCAAAACGGAGTGACGGATTGGCGTGATTTTTTTGTGTGGAAATAGTTGGAGGGCTGGAGAGTGTGACATAGGCTACTTTTTACCGCGGAAGATGTTCTCCTTCCCACGGGAAAACACGTTATAATACAGCCCGAAAAATTGTTTATGATCAGAATTACTTGAAACTTGGTATTAATGCTCTTCAATACAATTAAATAAATACGTGTTTTAGCATTTTTCGAAATTCATCCCATAAGGGGGTAAAATAGGGGTTGAAGGTTGTATGAAATCTACCTTTTTAGAGTTTTTTCATAGTTTTAGCGCGAGTGAAGTCGCGGGTTCTGCTAGTGCTATATAATTTAGCAGTGAAGCAATTATTCATAAATAAAATGCTCAAGCGGATTCACGGGTAAAAGAAAGTCAATAAATTTTGGGGGCTTTCTGCAGTCCTTCTCTATATAAACTTTAACTAAGCTCATCCTCCCCCGTACATGCAATATGCTTGAAAAAGGGGTTCAAAGTTTTTGCTTCACGTATGAATATATAGATGGTTTATAATACCAACTTACTTATAGTAAAATATAAAACAAAATCGGGTTTGTTACAACACTTATAACTCGAGAACTGCTCAACTGATTTTCATGGTTTTTGATTTGTTGGATTAGTCTCCATCCCCAATAGCAGAATAACTATTAAAACATCAGAAAAAAATCAGGAAATAAAAATTATATGGCTAACGCTGGCTAATATTTATGTCTATTTAAAACGTACCTAGGAACAAACCCGAGCGGAGCGAGGGTGTGTCACTATTATACAATAAATTACAAGTGCGAAATTGTATGTCTGTATGTAAGTGTGTGTTTGTTACTTCTTGACTTCGAATATGTATAGATTCGGCACCGTATCGATAATATCTATTTCAATAAGATTTTCAAAAAAATATTTAATGTACAGATTCGGCTTAGAATTTTATTTTATCTATAGAAGTAGACTGATTATAATACTGTCATTTGCCACCAGGCGGCTCTCGAGTACGTGGAGGAGCGCGGCGGCGGCGCATCGACGGCGAGCAGCTCGAGCGCGTGCGCGTGCGCGTGCTCGTGCGGCGCGGCGGCGTGCTCGTGCCGGCGGCCGCCCGCGCCGCCCGCCGCGCCCGCGCCCGCGCACTCGCTGCTCTTCGTACACGCTGGCCACTACCAGGAGGAGTGCCTCGCGATAGACACGGACGTTCAGCTCATTGGTGAGACGCATGTTTGTTGTGTTCATATTTAATGGCTTCTATAAGAAATATAAACGTTTCTGTTGTTAAACGTAAAGTTTTAAAAATGCTATGAAGTAATGTCGGCTATGTTTTTATGATTAAAAATAATATATGTTAAAATTAGTAGTGTATAGTGTAGCTTTTTTTGCTTTTATTTTAAAATTTGACTACATTACTTATTTTCATATATGCCTAAAATGTACATTTTACAAATTTAAACATTTTAAAGTTTTGTTGAGTTGAATTAATATTGAATACTAGCGTTTTATCGCGGCTTTGACTGTAGTGTGTGTGTGTGTATAAGCAATAATACTATAAAGTTAAGAAAATCCATTCATTAGTTTTTGCGTAAAAGAGTAACGTACTTCCATACATCACACAAATTTTCGCATCTATAAATAGCAAAAACAAATAAACCTTTTTATTAAACAAAGAAAACAATTAATGTTACATTTAATTAAAACAAATCAAATAAATGCACTGACCACTGGTTTGTGTCGTTCTTATTAGCGGAACAGCCTTTCGAGCCGGAGGTAGCTTCCTCACGAACTTATTGGCAGTTATTGAAAATTAAAAAGAGAAATTTAATTGACGATTCAAAATTGCTTGTTTATTTGAATAAAGTATACAACCAATCAAACATATAACATGTAAAAAAATGCAAGTCTCGCAACGCAAATCTTCTACCGCAAAAAGTTATGAGATATAATGTACAATAATTTATTCAGTATCTTTCTAAGGAAGCATCTATCCAACAACTTAGTCATAAATCATTACCCAATTAGTTAAGTAACAACATGTTATAGTGACCGTATCAATATTAGATATATTTATTTCTTTAATTAATATAATGACTTGGCCATCACACGGAAACATATTCACATAAGAATCTACTATTTTAAATAGTTGTAACTGAACATATCATGAACAGAAATAGAGTGTTGATTTTGTTACAAAGCTTTCCATGCGTCTTTATTAGTCATGTCATTGTGTTATTACTTATCATTGCATATTTATTTAGATTTATTTTGAATGAATATAGTTTTTAAATATTTTTTTAAACTAATCCCATCATCGACATCAAAATTTTCAAAGTACATGTTCGTAAAATTAAATTGATACTTACCTTAAGAATTAATTTTTGTGTTGCAGAAGTGGCCTCATAGTGGGCCGCCACAGCTAGATTATTAAGAAGCTTTTGCAGCCGCAATGATAAAATTAGGCGTGTTCATCGATCGTCCGACACACGTTACGGCACAACTAATATAGACGTTATATACACCTATAATAATAATTAATATACCTGTAATTTTGGTATCATTTCTTTTCTGTTTTACTAATATGATAATTTGATCCTTCAGGTTGTGCCCCAGGAAACGTAGCGGAGTCGGTTGTCCTGGAACGTGAAGCAGAGTCAACGTTAACGTTCGCGGAAGGCGCAAATCGCTCATATGCCGGACACATGACGCTCAAGTTCTCCCCGGACGCTACAAGCACTATGCAGCACCACAAACACTACTGTCTGGAGGTTTCCGACAACTGTTCCCCCACCGTCGATCATTGTATTATACGCAGCGCTAGTGTCGGTAAGTTACTTACTATCTTGTTTCCTTTTTTTTTATTTGTATATTTAATTGTATTGTACTGCTGGGCACGGGTTTCCATACGAGAGGATTCAGGCCATAGTCCACTACACTAGCCAAGTGCGGGTTAGCGGACTTCACAAGTCTTTCGAAAACTTGCAAGGTTCTCTCTCTCTGAGACATGCAGATTTCCTCACGATGTTTTCCTTCACCGTAAGACAAGTGTTTATCTTGTTGGAAAATCATTCGCGCATGAAAATATCGGACGTGTGAAACCTGGGATTTGAACCCGCTTCACTCGGTTTTCCGAGCGAGTGGGTAACCATTGGGCTACAATATTAAAATATGGACATAACTGCTAAGTTAGCCTTAATAATAATATTAATAATTGTACTTTATTTGTTTGTTTATCCCTTTTCACGCGAACGGAACGGATTGACTTGACTTTTGCTTTTCATTCCTCTATTTATTATTCTCTTTTCTGACTCCTATTTATTTCACTACTGCATAAAGACAATATACCCCCTATAACAAGTATTTGCCAAAAACATATAAATAAAATATATATGCCGTACAGTGGGCGCGGCGGTGTGCGTAAGCGGCGCGGGCGCCAACCCGGTTATCAAGCACTGCGACATCAGCGACTGCGAGAACGTAGGCCTCTACGTGACGGACTACGCGCAGGGCGCCTACCAGGACAACGAGATATCGCGCAACGCACTCGCCGGCATATGGGTGAAGAATTTTGCCAACCCTATAATGCGTCGCAACCATATACACCATGGACGGGATGTCGGCATATTCACGTTTGAGAATGGATTGGTTAGTTTGTTTTTATGTTTATTATATATCATGTTAATAATCATATACCATCAATTAACCTTCATTCATTTGTCAATTTTTTGCTTAAAGAGTTGTTGAATTTGTATCGCATTCTTTTTAAGCTTATTGTAAAAAAAAACTTAAGTGTTCACTAAGTTTTATGATTAAATTGACCACATAAAGCATAAAATAAAAATAAAATATTGTAAAAGGAAATATAAAATCAAAATTATATTTGCACCACAGTAATTTGAAACAAATCAACATCAAAAAATCCTCTCACCAGGGTTACTTTGAGGCGAACGACATCCACAACAACAGAATCGCCGGGTTCGAGGTGAAGGCCGGCGCCAATCCCACCGTCGTGCACTGCGAGATACACCACGGTCAGACCGGCGGAATCTACGTGCACGAGTCCGGCCTCGGACAGTTCATCGACAACAAAATACACTCTAACAACTTTGCGGGAGTCTGGATCACTTCCAACAGCAATCCCACCATACGCCGAAATGAGATATACAACGGCCACCAGGGCGGCGTGTACATATTCGGAGAAGGCCGCGGTCTCATAGAGCACAATAATATTTATGGCAACGCTTTAGCCGGAATACAGGTTGGTTGGTGTAATGCATTTTGTATTTTTGTCGTTATTTCTTTTAAATGAACAAAAACTTAATTGTGAAGTAATCTGTCTATATATGAAGTAAGATAATGTAATTAAAAATACATTTTTTAATGAAGTCACTTTAATTCATGTGCTTAAATTAATTTGAATAATATGTTTTCATTTTTAATTATATATTTTTTATCATAGCAAAAAAAAATTACAATGTTTATTAAGATGAATGTTTCGAATACTTTTATTTATTTTTAACATTATTTTGTTATTAGATTCGCACAAACAGTGACCCAATAGTAAGGCACAACAAGATCCACCACGGCCAGCACGGCGGCATTTACGTCCACGAGAAGGGCCAGGGGCTGATCGAGGAGAACGAGGTGTACGCGAACACGCTCGCCGGTGTCTGGATCACGACCGGCTCTACGCCGGTGTTGCGGCGTAATCGCATACATTCGGGCAAACAGGTATCGATATTGCTTTTTAACAATATTTTTTAATGCCTCGTTGGTCTAGTGGTTACTGGAACGGCAATGGAACATGGAAGTGGAAAGCTAACTGATTTAATGTTGTTGTTGTTGTATGTTGGGATATATACACACAGCACCATCTAGTTCCATAGTAAGCTACGAGGCTTGTGTTATGGATACCAGATAGTTGATACACTACACATATATAAACTTTAAATACATACATATTATAAATATAAACACCCATGACTGGAGTACAAACATTCGTGCTCATCACACAATGATTGCCCCCAGCGGGACTCGAACCCGCGACCGCTGGCACAGCAAGTAGGGTCACTACACACTGAGCCGTCGTCAATGTTCATATTAATTTACCCTCATCATGTATGACTGCATATCCTCTTCTATTAATCTTGGATTCGAATCCCGGGTTGTGCCGAATATAGTCATTAGGTTTTTCTGACAAAAACTTTTCAGCAACTGAAGTTTGGAAGTGGTCGGTATGCCACTGTGGCCGGTCTGGAGCATATTATATTTATTAGTTGGTAATACGCTCAAATGGCCAAGAGAAGATTTTTAGATATCTTGATGCTCGAAAATACTTTAACCATTGCAAGAAACAATCTACAAAAATGTGTGCTAACTTATCTATTTTTGTCATCTCAGGTCGGAGTATATTTCTACGACAATGGCCATGGAAAGTTAGAAGACAACGATATATTCAACCACCTTTACTCAGGAGTCCAGATTCGGACAGGCAGTAACCCTGTGATACGCGGCAATAAGATATGGGGTGGACAAAATGGCGGTGTTCTCGTGTACAACGGTGGCCTAGGTTTATTAGAACAAAATGAAATTTTCGATAATGCCATGGCTGGTGTGTGGATAAAGACTGATTCAAACCCCACCCTAAAGAGAAATAAGATTTTTGATGGCAGAGATGGTGGCATTTGTATATTTAATGGTGGCAAGGTTTGTACTTTGTCTATATTTTAGTTTTTTTATTTTATCAGTCTGTCTTTTAGATTGACTATGCAAATACTTTTTTTTAACACATAAGAGACATTAAAAAATATTGAACATTTTTAATTTTAGTTTAATTACTAATTTCAATATACTATGTAAAATTATCTTAATGTGAGATAAACATACTGACGATTACAGCTAGCTTACAATGACATGTCTGTAATATGAGACACAAAACAATAATTGGTAATATTACATGATAACAAATTACAGGGCGTGTTGGAAGAAAACGACATATTTCGTAACGCCCAAGCCGGCGTCCTGATCTCAACACAAAGCCATCCTGTGCTGCGACGTAACCGTATCTTCGACGGGCTGGCCGCCGGCGTCGAGATCACGAACAACGCCACCGCCACGCTAGAGCACAATCAGATATTTAATAATAGGTTTGGAGGTAAAGACACTGTCTATGATACTACTATTATTAATTAAACATTGTCTGTATGGATGTGTGTATGTTTGTTACTAATTAACGCTGAAACGGTAAAGATAAACTATGACCTGGAGTGACACATGATAGGCTTCTGTTAGTAATAAAATTTACCGAAAGTGATGCTACATATAAATAATCTATACATGTGATAAAGTTCTGAGTTGAATCTGTATATTAAATATTTTTTGGAAAATCTTATTGAAATAGTCATTATCATCGATACAGAGGCTGAATCTATAGTTTGTAGAATTTTTGTCTGTCTGTTCGTCTGTGTCACTTCCGTCCGTCCGTCACGAGAAAACCACAGGACCGATTTTATTAAAATTTGGTGTGATGACAGCGGGCTATCTAGGACAACATATAAGATACTTTTTTGTGGGAAAATATCTCATCTCTGAGAAATCTATACCAGAAGTATTATACGTTCGTTAGTATAAATATAAGTCTCATAGGGTCGCACCCGGGCGAGACTGTCAAGCTCCACTCTAAGTAATGTATCATCGCGTTTATTTTTTGTATAGGACTGTATATATCACTAGCGGACCCGACAGACGTTGTCCTGTCTACACGTCTTTAATTTGAAAATTTCAAACTTTTTTTAATAATTTTTTTGATGAAAATTATTATTCAAATTGTGAATCTAAACCATTCTCAGATCCCCTTGAACACACACAAAAAATTTCATCAAAATCGGTCCAGTCGTTTGAGAGAAGTTCAGTGACATACACACTCACAGAAGAATTATATATATAAAGATATACAAAATAACAGAAAAATTATGTATATTGTTTCATTTCTATAATAGTCAATAATCTTAATTACTTAAGTTTTAATTATTGTTTCTCGTGCTTATTTATGTTACTAAAATTTTGTTAAGGACTAAATTTAAATCAGTAACTTTCTACTTTTAAGAAGAAATGAAATGTTATAATAGCTATGAAACTAAATGTATTTTGCTATTTTATCAGGGCTATGTTTAGCGTCGGGAGTGTCGCCTCTAGTGCGCGGCAACAAAATATTCAGCAACCAAGATGCAGTAGAGAAGGCTGTCGGCGGCGGCCAGTGTCTCTACAAAATTTCTTCTTACACATCCTTTCCAATGCATGATTTTTATAGGTAATTATTTTACAAAAAATACTATGTTCATATATAAACTTAAAAATTTGAATGCTAAATCTACATTATTTTATGATTTACAAATATTTTTAAATCAATGCTTGTGATTTCAGGTGCCAGACGTGTAACACGACAGATCGTAACGCCATTTGTGTTAACTGCATCAAAACATGCCATTCGGGACATGATGTTGAATTTATTCGCCATGACAGGTAAAGATACTATTTTTTGTTAAAAGTTTTATTTTAAATTATAAAAACATTTTGACGAACAAATTTGATAAAAATACGATTATGTTTGTAGATTTTTCTGTGATTGCGGTGCTGGTACGTTGTCAAATCAATGCCAGCTGCAGGGCGAGCCCACGCAGGACACCGACACGCTCTACGACTCGGCCGCTCCCATGGAGTCACACACGCTCATGGTCAACTGAGCCGCGTCCCCGCTCGCCGACACCCGCCGACATCAGGCGTCACTTGCCGACACCCGGCAATTCTCGCCGACATTTGGCAGCACTCGCCGACATCCGCCACTCTTCGGACCGCCCGCCGATACCTGCCATTAAGGACGACCGTACACGGATGTCAAATGTATAGTAATTATTTAAACTTCGAAATGTGCTTGACGCACATACAAATAAAAGTACTATAGGTTTCGTACTTTACAGTCAATATTATACGAAGTTTAATTAATTACGGTGTAATATTGCAAATATTGCATGTAGTCAGTTGTGAAGTAAATCAGAAATGCGAAGAATGCAAACGGCTTATTTGCCTCTGCTGTGGTTAAATGTTCTAGTTCACCGCAATTGTACTGTCCGTGTATGTAAAGCCTTAACTAAGTATTTTTATTAACTTCGCATAGTACACTCACCCGTGTCGCTGTACACCTCCTCGTATGTGACTTGTAATCGGTTCAATTATGTATTCTATTGATGTATAATATAGACGGAAAGTTTCCAGATACGCTATTTGTAGGGGCGTTTTTATCATCAGTACTTAATATTGTATTTTGTCGTGTAGAAAGAATCATGCATTCCCAAATTGTAATCATCCCACTTTTCGTGTCACGTTTATATATATTTAGAGTAATATTATTTGTTTCATAAGAAGATATACTGATAGCCTTATATTGTAACGTCTACGGTTATGTAATCATGAGGAAATTTGTCATTTTGTTTACGTTCGGAGTCGAAGCTTTGTTTACTTGGGCCGACTCGATCCAGCGACTGCGACGGTCAGGTTAGCTAATTGTATTATAAATATCCTTTATAAGTATTTTTAACTATTTGACGATACGATTCATTTTATATAGATAAACATATTGTTTAGCTCACCTGATGTTTAGGGTTGTTTGTTCGTGTTTAGTTAATAGAAATATGTACCACGTTTGTTTGACGGCCGGGGACTGATCGGGGGTCGCGCCGCGTGCGAGCGCAGTAGCAGGTGTTGCAAGTTTATTATCTCTTGATTGGGAGTCCGCCTCGCCTAACTATTTTCGGCGTTCCTGTCGCGCTTTGTAAATATTTATGTCTCACAATAATCGAAAATGTAGTAATTAATGTATTTGTATCATTATATTTTTATTATTGATCACAACGTGTATGTTTAATTATTATGAATTACGTACGTCCCTCGGAGGGAGATGATCGCGGCGCCGACCGCGCTAGTGTATTATAAAATGCAAATTAAGAACGAATGTGCGTATTTAATTGGAAAAGATCTTAGGTACAATTGATATTTTATTATATTGTTAATTTAAATGTGGTATTGATATCGAACGACAAGCAATGTTAGATGGAGGGAGGCCGCGCGCAGCGGCCGGCGTGCCGATAGTGATAAGTTAGCCGGTAAGATATAATGAAAATCTAAATTACTCAGTAATCACTATTGCAAGTTTCGAATCGTTAAATCGTCTCCATAGCACGGTATGTTCTGAATCTGCTTTTTTATATCCTCAATCTGTGATCATCGCTAAATATTTAAGAGAAAAGTATTTTAGTTCACGTGTACAGAATGAATAATACTTATTATCGTTACATCAAAATTATCGTAATAAGTGGCGCCGATGCTTTATATAATTGAATTGAATGTGAAATTGTTATTTATTGAATTGTCAGTATGTTATAATTTATTAAATTAAATTCTGGATAATATTTTGTTTATACCTGAGAATACCACTGTAAAAGCCGTGATATACATCATATAATATTATACATCTTGAATTTTATTTAATCCCTTATTTTATTTCATAATACTACCTTCACATAAAACTCAAATTTTAGACAGCGAAGAAGAGAAGAAGAGCACTAGCTCTTCACCAAGACTGTAAATTATAACTTATCAAACGAATTTATCCCACGTAAACCGAACATTTTTCCGGGACAAAACGTAGCCTATGTACTATTCCAGACTATAATGTAACTCTGTGCCCATCCAGATCCGTTCAGCCGTTATGGCGTGATTGAGTAACAACATTCGTCCAAACATCTAAACTTTCACATTTATAATATTAGTGAGACAAGTGCAGTACCCATCAGCAAATCAGTATTTAGCCATGCCCCGGAGAGCACGTAAATCCGTCATTCGCTGTAACTTCTCGGTCATGACGACATGTGTAGTCACACCGGGGTATGAGAGTGACGGGAATAGAGAGTGCGCTTGTATGTGCGCGTACACACCGCGCTGCACAATGATATTATCTCCTTCGCCTCGCTCAGTCACACTTAAAGATGTGAGAACTCGAGTTAACTCGAGTTGAATTCTCTCTGACTCGAATTGGATTTGCGTGGTAAATGAACGAATCAAGCGAGTACGCGATTGACCTTACGCAAACGCGGCGATTCGTTCGTTGTGATCATGTTTTATACAGTCGTCAGCACTTCAGACCATACATTTATGTTGCAAAATCGCTCCTATTACAACCGAATAAGATGTCACAGTATTTAACTTAATCGCTGTCGTCCGTACTCCCGTCATAGCGTTTCAACCGACTGACAGCGTTATAACATCCATACTAATATTATAAATGTGAAAGTATGTTTGTTTGTTTGTCCTTCTTTCACGTCGAAACGGAGTAGCGGAGTAATTTCTTGGGTGAAGATAGTTCATAGTTGGAGGGCTGGAGAGTGTGGTATTTCGAATTTCGAATCGAATATTGATATTCGATTCGATTCGAACGATGAGTGGTATAGACTACTTTTTACCGCGGAAGATTATCTTATTTCCACGGGGAAACACGTTATAATACAACCCAAAAAAATACTATTATCAGAATTACTTGAAACTTGGAATTAACGCTATTCAATACAATAAATAAATATATGTTTTAGCATTCTTCGAAATTTATCTCGTAAGGGGATGAAATTTTGTATAAAACCTACCTTTTTAGTGTTTTTTGGAGTTTTAGCGCGAGCGAAGCCGTGGGTTCTGCTAGTAATAATATTGGTGCAGCAACGATCAGCCAAAACTACGGCGGTCTTCAAATAAAACGTAGACTATCTAAACCGTATTAAATAAATATAAAAATTATAAATAATTATAATTGTCCAAATAAATATTTATTTAGAATCTGTACCATTTTTTTAATATTGTTGCGAAGCCGAGTCATTAAATTGGTACAAACAAAACAAATCAATTACTTCATTTTTCATCCAGTTAATTCGAGTTACGTGAATTTCAACTCGAGTTAACTCGAGTTATATTTTTTCCGAGTTGGCACATCACTAATCACACTTGTCGTAACGCTCTCATCAAGTCAAGCGTGCGTTAGAAGTTTAACTTCAAAAATTTAAACTCGATAGAACCGATTATGATTGTCATAGGTGAGAAAACGGCTAAGTCTGATTAGGTTTTTTTTGAACCAAGAAATCCTGACTATCCACAGTTCAAGTTCATCGAACTATATTGTAAAGTTTCTAACAATAAATTGTATGGACTAATGTCGAGTACCAACAAACGTTAAACATTTATTTATTAAGATTTGATCAGTAATAAATTTTATCATGATAAGCCACCATATTTTCATGAAATTAAACAATATTTCTCCTACTTATAAGTAAAATTTATACTTTAGTAAGGAGATGTAACAAAAAATCAATTTAAAACAATTTTATTTTTATTTACACAGAAATATATGATTTTTATACAAATTTTTAATAATTAAGTTACCTAATTTAAGTACTTATGGCCACTCAATAGGTACAAATATAACGAATAATACTTGAGCAAATTAATTATGTGAACGTTGTTTTTGCCGCGGCGACCGTCTCGGTGAAATATGTACAGCTTTCATCGGCGTGTTCAGTTTCCTATGATCTGCGATAGACGAAGGCGTTTTCAAACTTCGAGGAGTACATAAAGGCTTTTTCAAGGCCGGCGGTTGAGGCGTCTTTAACAAAACATTCGGTTGTGGAGACACTACCTTTTTCACAGGAGTTAATTTTCTTAATCGCGAATGCATTTCGTCTTTATGAGGTATGGGTGTTCGGAACCTTGCGACGTTTGGACTTATATCGTTAGCATTTTTATTTGTTTTAAATGATTGTGTTTCAACATCGTTTGCGTATGACTGGAGCCTCGTTTTTGGATGACCTATTCTTTGGTGTTGGTTGACTCTTGGTTTCCTTGCAAAACCTGTATGTACTGCCTTTTCGTTTTGTTCTGATGATTTGTCTGAGCTAGATTCGAATAGCTTAGCCTTCGCGAGAACTGCCCCTGCATTCTGTCGCCGCAGCTTGTTGACTGACGGGCGTCCTGTTTGTCCGTTGCTTTCTACTTCACCAGTTTTATCCATAAAGAAAGCAGCGGCACTCCGCCATTTCGGTTGCGAACTCGGTGGGTTCGTATTCTTACTATTTACATTTTGATAGCATTGAAATTGCGAAGAATTTCTCGATTTTCTTTTAACATTGAGCGTGTTATTCATTGAGTTCTCAGATTCCGTGCCGTCCCAACTGTTGTTCATTGTGATATTGAGTGAGCGGCGCGGCTGAACTTTGCCTATAGTTTTGTTCAGATTATAATCTGGAGCGAGACTTATCCTTTTTCGTTGATGATATTTTTGACTGCTGTCTGAAACATTGATAGAGTTCTCTGACAGTGAACCATCCCAATCAGATGTGGAATTTTGAGTTTTCGTGGCAACTTGTTCCGTTTTGACAGTAGTTCGTTCTCTACGACAGAGGCCGACATAAGGATAAAATCTGTCTATATTGTGGCCAGCTTGGGAATGAGAAGAAGCATTCCAGGACTTGTGCCGAACTATTTTTGTTAAATTTTCTTTGGAACGGCGTCTTATAGAGCCAATTTTTCTAGCACTTGGAGATCGTATGATTTTTGCTTGTTCTTTTGGTCTTATCTTTAGTTCTTTGCTTAATCGACGTGCAAGGTGCTCGGAACTCTGGCAGTTTAACATAGCTACTTCTTCTAATGTTTGTTCATATACATTTTGGACTTGCTGTACAGGCTGAACTCTTGGTATGACATCTGTGAATTCTCTTGATAATCTATTCTCTATGGCGGATACTCTGCTTTTTATTTCCTCATATTCTTGCTTGGATATTCTTACATAATCTTTGTCTATTGCTTTCATGTCTGGCGACAAATCTATAGTATCGTGTGCGCTAAAGAGATTCTCTGTAGAAGTTAACAAGTCTTCACTACTGATGCTTGTTTCGGAGTTTTTGTGTGAATTAAAATCTTTATTTATGATGGGCGTGCTTCTTGCGTCTATGTAACTCAATCTCAGTCTTTTCCTTTCTGTTACACCCCTGCAAGTAAGATAGATAATTATTAATAAAAAACATTTGGGGTATTCTAAACTAAACAATTTACGTGCTAGAAAGACCTAAGAAATAATTTATGTTCTTGACTTTACACCAAAAATTTTATATTGGGCTATATCCAGTGCTTTTGTATGTACAAACTAAAAAACACCTGTCCTTTGTCTTTTTCTGGCACAAAAATGACATTTTTATTTGCAATATAAAAGAAAAAATATAGTAAAAATTATAATTTATATTATAATATTTTCTTAGATCTACGCGAATATTTGACAATTTAAATAAAACTATCTTTTCGAATTATTTCGCGGATTTATTATGATTTTAGGTTCCCGACGTTTTGAATGCTTTACAGCTTTTTATAAATCATACTAGCATTGCCCGCGGCTTCGCCCACGTTAAGATGATCAAAAACCAAATTCTTAGGTTTTACATATTAGTATACTCTTACATTACAGTTTTTGTATTTTTTCTCACAAATGAGATATTTTTCCGCGGTATAAAGTATCTAGTAGTCTATTTCAATAAGATTTTCTAAAAAATATTTAATGTACAGATTTGACTCAATTAGAATTTTATTATATGTATAGATTAACAAATGTATGAGATGTAAACGCATGAAAAGTTGAAAACGGCCCGCTATTGCAATATTTTAATTATTGGAGCAAAGCACAAGATGATGAGAATCAGAATGATGGGGAATAAGTGACATTACTTATCACAATACAGCATTTTCCCATGCCATCTAAGTCAAGAAGAACAAAACTAGTCATACATATTTGTGTTTGGATACATTCTTTTGATCTATGTACACTACAGATTTAGAATATTCTGCCCTCCCGAACCTAAAGTGCAGTAACAGCAAAAACACGAATTCGAGAAAAACGCGCCTAAAGTTTAGAATCCATAAAAATATATCAAAAAGAGACTTTTCGATAAAACCTTGAATGGAAAGTGAAAGGATATGTACCAAACTAAAATACTAAACATTGTTACGTTAGTTTTTTTATAAATAACTATAATTATGGCAATTTTTATTTTTTAGCCCCTATTACTACACTACTACATCTTTTCAAAAACTGTTTTAAATACAGTAAATTCTGTTATTACTGCATTTTAGACATTTCTTCCATGATTGTTACTAACTAAAGTGCAGTAATATTATGAAACTACTGCTATTTAATCTGTTTTTTTGAACAAAACACTGATATTCCACACATATAGTAATATAAAATTACCTTTAATTTTGATAAAAATATGTAATTTCTTAAACAAAACTGGACATGCATTTATAACTATGCCATTAAAAATATTCATCAAAACATTGTACATTATAATCTAATAGTGTAAATTTTTTTATATGACTAACAATATAACAATCTTTACAAGATGTTGATAATCTTAACTAGTTAATCCACCATAAAACTATCACATGTATTTCTCATGCATGGATCAATAAAACTTACATAAAATCTTTCTTCTGAACATAACTAGTTACTAAATGAGTATTCTTGTCTTACAAAAATAATAGTCTGAAAAGATTATGGAAGGTAGAACTAAGGAGAATTAACTTATATGGGAAACAAGTTGAAAAAGTGTCCAGTAGTGAGCAGCAAATTATAGCTCAGAAACTCACCGTTACAGCACTAGCGTAGCAAGTAGATGTGATGTGAAGTTAGTAGTTTTTAACGGAGTGAAGTGTGCTGAATTATTATTACTTGAAAATAATATATAATTATATTGTATATCGCTGTTTGCCTATGTTAGAACTATTTTGAAAAGTGCGCCACAGCAAAGCGAAAATCTTTCATTCCTTGTTTAATTCACCTTCTTACTTTTATGACGCTATGTTTTAAACTAGCGACTCACCCTCGCCTCGCTCTGGTTCGTCCCTGGATACTTTTTTTTTGAGCGGAACTCTAATTCTTTTTTTTAAATAAAAGTAGCCTATATTACTCCCTATAACATCAGTTACCTTCCACTGAAAGTCCGTCAAAATCAGTCCAGCCGTTTCAGAGAGTATTCGGAACAAACAGACAGACAAAAAATTTAAAAAATTTGTTTTTCTTATAAGTACCGTATATAATTTCATATGTATTTAGTAAAAAGGTTTATTTGGACATTACAAACTTGTTTTCTGTGGCGCCACCAGTTTAATGCTTGTCAGCGGTCACTTTTTATACGAGAAATAGTTCTCCTTAGTTCTACCCTCCATATCTCTTTGGTACAGACACAGCATGGCACGTCAAGTCAGCCTTAAGCCACAGATTAAGGAGACTGCCTCAAACCGCGATATTGCCTGTCCTGTGTTTTAATATTTTAATAATTTTACCTATTAAAACCCAGTATTAGGGAATAGTATTTGACTTCAAGTATTTTAGGTAGTAAGAATTGGATGGAGCAAACTAACTAATATGCAGTAAAATTTATAAATATTGTAAACTAAATGGCCTTTTACAAGCAACTACAAAACATCCTACAAGTTAAACTGCAGTATGGAATGTTAATATGCACTTTAATTAGGAATATAAATAAAAAATATTTTTTCTTAACCTTTGCAGTATAATCAATTTGTATAGAGTCGAATAATACTGCATTTTAATAAGTTTTTTTTTGAATCTCCTAGAACAAACTACTATTTTAAGTGCCACAAAATATGATAAAATACTGCAGTTTAGTTAGAAAACAGAGAAAAATCTTGTGCAGTATTAATTGTACTGCGGTTTAGATGGAACATGGAATATTTTAATAGATTTGTGATATTTTTGCTGTTACACCTTCCGAAAAAACATTAAAATAAAATACTTTATTAGCGCTACAGAAAAAAGAATTAATTTGACTGATAGCTACTAAAATGGGGATTTAGAATATATATTTAACTCAAAACCGACCAAAATGTCTATTACTGCACTTTAGGCTCAGGTGGGCAGTATTATACATACTAATATTATAAATGTGAAAGTGTTTTGTTTGTTTGTCTTTCTTTCACGTCGTAACAGAGTGACGGATTGGCGTAATTTTATGTGTGAAGATAGTTGGAGGACTGGTGAGTGACTACTACTTTTTTACCGCGGAAGATTATCTCATTCCCACGGGAAAACACGTTACAATAAAACTTAAAAAAATATTTGTGATCAGAATTACTTTAAACTTAGTATTAATATTCTTCAATACAATTAAATAAATACGTGTTTTAGCATTTTTCGAAATTCATCCCATAAGAAGGTAAAATAGGGGATGAAAGTTTGTATGAAACCTACCTTTTAGAGTTTTTTTGTAGTTTTAGCGCGAGCGACTGATGCAAGAAGATTGCATGCTGCAGAGATGAGAATGTTAAGGTGGATGTGTGGAGTGACGAGGATGGATAAAATAAGGAACGAGTACATAAGAGGAAGCTTAAAAGTAGCACCAGTGACACAGAAGTTGAAAGGGAATCGTCTAAGTTGGTATGGGCATGTGAAGCGGAGGGATGAAACGCATGTGACGAGAAGAGTGATGGAAATGAATGTAGATGGACGGAAAGTTAGAGGAAGACCGAAGAAAAGATGGATAGATTGTGTGAGACAGGACATGAAAGAGAAAGGGGTGAATGATGAGATGACGAGTAATAGGGGAGAATAATTTTTTTTTTTATGGGACTAAGGGGGCAAACGGGCAGGAGGCTCACCTGATGAAAAGTGATCACCGCCGCCCATGGACATCTGCAACACCGCAGGGCTTGCAGACGCGTTGCCGGCCTTTAAGAAAGGAATACGCTCTCTTCTTGAAGGTGGCCAGGTCGTAGCGGTTCGGAAAGACCGCCGGCGATAGCTGGTTCCACAGAGTGGTTGTGCGGGGCAGAAAATGCCTTAAAAATCGCACTGTTGTGGAACGCTGGACATCGAGATGGTGTAGATGGAATTTACTATTTTGGCGCGATGTCCGATGGTGAAATTCAGCAGCCGGGATCAGTCCGAACAATTCCTCGGAACACTCCCCGTGATAAATGCGGTAGAAGATGCAGTGATCCAACATCTCTACGCAGAGCTAAAGGATCAAGCCGATCGGAGAGAGCTTGATCGTCGATAACTCGAATCGCCCTACGTTGAATGCGGTCAAATGGAAGTAGCTGGTACTGGGGAGCTCCCGCCCAAAGATGAGAACAGTACTCCATGTGGGGCCGAATTTGCGCCTTATAAATAATAAGACGCTGACGCGACGTGAAGTACTGTCTCGCCTTGCTGAGCACACCAAGCTTCTTTGAGGCCAGTTTGGCCTTACCTTCCAATTGACCACGGAACTGGACGTTGCTCGAGATGTCGACGCCAAGTATTCCGATACTGGCTGTGGGAGACAGAGGAGTGTCCTCAAATTGAGGAGCTACGATAAATGGCGATGCGATGAATGGCGGTTAACGCGCAAACTTGTGTCTTTTTGGGGTTGAATCGGACTAAGTTTTGTCGACCCCAATCCGAGACTTTGGTTAACAGAGATTCGACTTCAGACACAAGTTTGTTCCGGCTCTCGTCGACGTATTCCCGAGAAATATTAGCGCGGCCAGTGTACAGCGCATCCACAGTGCTATCATCTGCATAGCAATGAATGTTGCTAATTTGCAACATGTCATTGATATGCAGAAGAAACAGAGTAGGAGACAGTACACAGCCTTGTGGAACACCAGGGGAGAATACCCCTAGGTACCTACAACACCGTGTTTCAAGCCGAATGTCTAGGTATCCTTGAGGCAGCTAGAACAATTGCGAATAAAGACGTCAAAGACTTCTCTATCCGCTTACTATCAGACAGCATGTCAGTACTACAGGCATTAAATAGTAATTCTACCACTTCAAGGCCACGGACCCTACAACAAACACCTATTTAACTTAGGTATAACTGACAGCCCACTCTGCAGAGCCTGCATGAGGGCAGATGAAACGGCTGCACATGTAATCTTACATTGTCCAGGTGTAGCGGCGTACCGGGCTCAACATCTTGGCACCCCTAGTACACTCCCGGAGGTCTTCGGTAGGACGAAGAGACTGCTGAAGTTCCTGGAGGAACTGGGCTGGCAAGAATAAACATTTGGAAAATTTCCCACACACGCAAAATAGGCGCGCAGACGTCGAGTTGCGGAAACAAGCCCGTTTTATACCATACCATACCATAGGGGAGAATGGAAGAGGAAGACTTACTGCGCCGACCCCAAGTGACTTGGGAAATTGGCAGGAAAAAGCGAGAGCGAAGCCGCGGGTTCTGCTAGTGTATATATATTTAGGAATTAAGAATAATAATTGTAAAACAATAACAGCAGCTTAAAATTTCAACTTACATTTTCATCGGCGTAAAAGACAGCTCCTTTTGAGGTAGACCTTTTGTTATTTCTTTCCTGTTGGTACAAAAATAGAAATTAAAAAACTATAATCGGTCAAGAACGAGTCGAATTAGCACACAAAGGATTCAGTATCGTCGTTCATATACTTTTTATTAATATGACTTTTACTCTTTGTATGTATGTAGCATATTAACTTTGATGACCGATTACAAACTAAAAAAAAGGTTTCTTGTAATTTTAATTTTTATTATTTATTGTTATAGCAACAAAATAAATACATACTTTGTGAAAATTTTAAGTCTCTACCTATTATAGACAGACTCTGACAGACGGACGTAACGACGGACAGCAGAGGCATAGTAATAGGATTCCGTTGGCACTCTTCAGATACGTAATTCTATGACTTACCTAGAAAACCTAGAAAAATTACTATGACTTCACATACTATGTGAATGCTAAAACTACAATAATTTGAGAGATAAAAATATTAATAACAATAAATTAATCAGTTAACACAGAATTCAAAAGTAAAAACGTTAAAAATAATATTTTGGTAAAAATTATATCTATTATAATATAAATTATAAATTATAACATATTCTGTTTCTCTTACTTTGTTTTTATTGAAAGACCTTCATAAGTGTCGAACTTTCTTTTGGCGGCAGATTTACTTAATACTGGAGTTTTACTATTCATCACTGGAGCTGGTGTAGTTACATTCCCGGATACCATTTTCTTTAAACCACTTAGCATTCCTGCAAAAAATAATGGTGTATGTTAGAAGAAATAGATATGAAAATGTGCATCTATAGGCAGTGGTAACACGGTCTTGGGAAGCTTGGGAAACTTAGTGAAGCGGGTTCAAATCCCAGGTCTCGCACCTCTGAAATTTTCATGTGCGAACCATCCCTAACATGATTACCACTTGCCTTACGGTGAAGGAAAACATCGTGAGGAAACCTGCATGTCTGAAGAACCTAGCAAGTTTTTGAAAGAAATGTGAAGTCCGTGAACCCGCACTTGGCCAGCATGGGGGACTATGGCCTGATTCCCCTTGTATTGAAGGAAGGCCTATGCCCTGCAGTGGGACGTTAAAAATTCCTGAATACATACACATGTGCATCTTCAGGGAAAAAGGCATTATTTAATGTTGACTATTATTTTTAATGACTTTTGTTGTTCTAACAATCTTACAGTTTTGTTATTATTTTGTTTGTTTTAATTTGCTAATCCATAGTAATAAGATCCTAGTTATTACTATTTTTACCTGACTGTGACGAAGCCCAACAGAGGAACACTGTTCCTTAATCCATGTGGTCTCATGCTTTTAATTCGCTTTTTACACAGTAAATTGTTTATTTATTTTTTATTATTATAATAAGTTATGTAACATCAAATTACATGTTTTAGCAAAGAAATTACACAAAAACTATGCAAGTAGAGTCACAGGCAAAAGCTAGACATTTATTAAAATAATTGAATTAAAAATTGTAAAAATATTGAGTATACTAACTATTAAGAGATCCACTTCTTCTTTTCTTACGCCTAGAATGACCAACATCTGAATCATCATCAAGTTTTGTCATGAGATCCTCTGTTAAAAGTCCTATGTATTGAGCATTTTCAATAAATATCTAAAAAGAAAAATCACATATCGGGTTAGGCAAAAGATGGAGATTTTATTGTTCCGGAAGCTATCTTTTACATATTATAAACCAATTTGCTTGTCCTTACTCTGGCTGATAGACTATCACTCAAGAGGTCAGACCAAACAACTGTATAAATATAAGTAAAATTCAAACTCTTAAGGGGTAACATGATTTGCATGGAAAACAATGATTTGAGGATATCATATTAAAAAAAAAACTAGTCCAAGCCAAGGCAGAGCAATAGGCAGACTTTTCCTATTTCTGAACATATTTTTTGAAATGAAAGTTTTTCTCTTTCACGGTATACATCAAAACAATAGGGTATCTACACTTTTCTAAACATTCACATTTGTTGTTCCAAAAAGAGATAAATATGCATGATCACAATATAAACAATACACAAATGTAGTGGAAACCAACTAATGTGTTTCATTGCCATAGATCAGGAGTTCCCAACCATGGAGACGGGCCCCCTACATACATACTACCCTACCCTGGGGCATACAGGTTATTTTGTATAACTTATATAAAAAAAAAACATTAATATAATGCGTTTTATTATAATTTAAAAAATAAAGGGGATCATGAAAACATAAATTGGTAAAAATAATGTGTTTAATTATAATAAAAAAATAAAGGGAACCATGAAAATACTTATTAGTTATTATAACTGGGAGGCTCAACAGAAGAAAGGTTGGGAAATCCTTCCATAAATTATTTTTTTAATTTATTTGAATGTTATATTTTTCTTTACATGTATCTGATAAGTCCTTTATATAAATATAAAACATATACATACACATATTTTTCTTATCACAGGATGTTGACTTTAGATACAATATCCTATAAGGGATGATAAGGAATGGTCAACAAGGCAAATAAATGAAATGTGAATATTTTTAAAATTTAAAGTAATTTACCTTGACTAGTGCAACATGGTGTTCTAAGCGTTGTGTGGAGGAAGCAGCTGGCAGGGGCATAATGCTTGGAGCTAAGACAATAGCCAAGTTTAAAGAGTCCATTAAATTTTCTTTATGTCTTGATGCTATGTATTTTAGCAACTGAAAGCATAATTTTAAAACATTTATAAATTTACAATACAAAAAAATGTCGATATTTTACTAATTTTATGTTGATTTATTTTGTAGGCTATAAAGGATAATTATGAACATTATTTGTTAGATACGGAATAGGAAAAATTTAAATATTTATACCTCCATTATATAGTGTAAAAGGTGCACATGTAATACTGGTAATAATAAAAGTGTATTCAATAAAGGCTTCAAACTATCATCTCCCGTTGTAACTCTGCACCGCAGTAGTAAGTCTTGTACTTCAGCACTGATCAATGGTTGAGGTAAACATCTGAGATAAAGCTTTAAAACACTTGCTACATCTATAGGATGATGACCTTCTGACACACAGCCGCCAGCATCAAGCAATCGCTAAAATATAAAATATAAATTAATTCTTACCTTACAAACACCACTATACTGAAATCTTTTATTTCCATGGAGCAATATAAATTTACCTTTATATCTTTCTGGCGGGTTTGAGACCCAGCTTTACGAAACAGACCTTCAACATGAGCATTCGCTCTTAGCACTGAAGACATTTCACTAACAACGTTAGGGACACACAATGTACTTCCACAACAAATTACACTGCACGATGGGACTTTCATCAAAGGGGCTCCGAATACTGTTTTATGGTCCTAAAAAAAGAAAAATCAACATATAGATTTCAAGAAAAATATAAAATACTGTTTACAAAACAAATATTTTGATATATTTACTTTGACATTTTTCAAAATTATCTTCTTGAAACGGTGTTTCAGTCCTGCTTTTTTTAGTTCACCGACTATAATAGACTGTAATTTCCCATGATTAATACCATCTGATATTAACATGTTGCTTGTTTTCTAACATTAAAGATATACTTTAAAGTTCTAAATGATTAAATCAGAAATCTAGTAATAATCTGCCCACTTTTTAAATCATGTAATTTCGTTACTAATGACGTTCCGTTTTACAATTTACATTCGATAATAGGTATGCGGAATATTTATTTTGAAAATAAAAAAATATAAAAAATATATGTAATAAGTGCTGACAAATATATCATAATATTAATGAAATAATTGTATTATTAAATATAACTTATTTAAATTACTTTATTTTATTAAGTATAAAATATGTCAAAAAATTCTTTAAAGCTAGCTAGCACACACGAATTTGGTCTTACATAGTGATGGGATTACATCTGCGCGCGATTTTATTTACTTATTCATTCTGCATAGTGCGCACATTAAATTGAATTTGGATTTTGGTCTGATCCCTATCTTACCGAGTGAAGCGGATTGCAGTTCGCAGATTTAATGTATCATTTAAAGTCCCGTTTAGCGGTCATCTGTTGTAATTTAATTTATTTTTAACCAAGTTTCTAGTAGAGATCGCTTACAAATAATGTTAGTTATTTAATAAATGTAGTCAACCAAATTAGATAATAAGTATACTTAAATCCTGAAAAAATCTTTTACGAATGCTTGGACAGAACAAAAATTCTCATTTTATAACTAAAACACTCGTTTAAAAATATTAGTCTTTACTAGTACATGAATAGTTTAATATTATTTGCATTACTACGGTCTCAACTTTTTTTCTTTAATTTGACAATTTAATATCTACTTATATTATTTTCTTAAACTACAATATACACGTTATAATGTTTTTATAGTAGACTAGCATTGCCCGCGGCTCCGCCCGCGTTCAGATGACCAAAAACTAAATTCTTAGGTGTTACATATTAGTATACTCTTACATTGCAGTTTTTGTATTTTTCCTCAGAAATAAGATATTTTCCCGCGGTAAAAAGTATCCTAGGATCGCGCGCTACATCGCCCGGTTTATATAGCTTGAGCAGGCGGTCGAGCGATGGGGGGCAGAGGGGATGGACTCGCCGTAGGCATCTCAATGCTCGCCAAGCATTAAAAATGTTTCGCTACTAATTACTTCTAACAACGATATCTCAAAAACTATTCATCTGATTGATTTAGTGTAAAGAGCAATTTTAATCTGCATTAAATGACTAAGCTAACTAAAATATTCATTTGGATAAGGATTAATACCGAACTAAAGAAAATAACTTTGAAAATAACGTAATGTTTTTAATTAAAAATGTTAACATAAAAGTGGTTATTGTAAGTCAACCGTAAGAGATAGAGATATGCTATCGCGGACTTTTTTGTAGCATTTTTATAGATTTTGAATTCTCTAGTACATTACTTAACTGTATCTTTGCTAGTTTACGCGGCGTTCGCGTGGAAAGTTCCCATTTGGCGAGATTTTTTGCGACCTCTTCAACATTTGTCGCCGTATTTCAGCTAATTTACATAAAAGCATAATAAATTATATACCTAAACCTTCCTCAAGAATTACTCTTTCTATTGTTGAAAACCGTATAAAAATCCGTTCAGTAGTTTTCGAGTTTATCGCGTACAGACAGACAGGAGGACAGACAGGAGGACAGAAAGACGCGGCCGGGGGACTTATTTTTATAATAAGTATAGATACCATAGATGATTTATAAAGTTAGTGAAATGAAATAAAATTTTATTCAAATAGACGATTTATATTATTACGATTTACGAGCACTTTTGAATCATCATATTAATTTAAAGCTTTGGCAAATTCTTCTCTATTGACTATAAATGTCTTGAGACTTAAAAAAGTGATATTCACACTGTAGTCTAACATTTAAAATATGAGCAATTTATTGTATGATCTGGACCTACTCAAATATATGTCTGCAATATTATAACTTTTTCTTATTACTCAGATATAATACTTAAAAAACTTCTGCTTGCATTTTGCAACTTATTTGTGAGGGTTGATTACAAGTAATGTAATATTAACCTACGACCTTTTAAGGGTGGCAGGGAATAACGAAATAATCGGAGCCGCAATGAAAAAGCTAAAAGTTATTATTTAATTTACGAATACCATTGTTTGGGTATATAAATTATATAATTATAATTTTTTATTTGTTATCCATGATATAAATTATCAACAAATATGGATTTTTGTGCAAAATATATAATGCTGAGTTGATTAATCTTATTTTAAGATTAATATTAAAAATAATTTATTTGCTTTTTATAATTTATTAGTCATAAGGCTAATGTACAATAATTATTTAAACTTAATTTAAATTTAGAGTTAGTAAGAACATAATATTCTAGCTTAGTTTGTTTTTATAATAATATACATTTTTTTTTACAACTGGCAAGATTGACTTTAAAGAGAGACGTGTCAGTCAGCCAAAAGTCAATCAATTTCAATAGAATCCTATTGTGGAAATTGATGTATGAGAAATCTTTTATTGGATATTTAGGATAGTCAATAACTTTAATTTGTAGTAAGATGCCGACATCGGCAGTGCAACCAGGCAATGTTCAAAATAAAGGGGTGTTTAATAATACGACCGGCTTCAGCACTTTGATCACGGTTACAGTTTTGTCACTGGCTTGGTTGGCCGGCTTTGCCTCCCGGCTTTTCGCTGTAATACGTTTTGAAAGTATTATTCATGAGTTTGACCCATGGTAAGTACCCTAATGAAAAAAATATATATTTAAGTCCTTCGAATATGTTTTACTTACTTTATATGTGTTACAGGTTTAACTATAGATCCACAGCATATATGGTACAACATGGGTTTTATAATTTTTTAAATTGGTTTGATGAAAGAGCATGGTATCCCTTGGGGCGTATTGTAGGGGGTACTGTGTATCCCGGTCTTATGATCACATCAGGGACCATACATTGGATTTTGCATGCTCTTAATATACCTATACATATAAGAGATATTTGTGTGTTTCTAGCACCAGTATTCAGGTATGTAATATGAATTTGTATTTATTAAAAAGTATTGAATACATATGTTGACTTTTGTATTTATTTTTAATTCTATTTTTAATATTTCAGTGGACTAACAGCTATAGCAACATACTTATTAACCTCAGAATTATGGTCTCGAGGTGCTGGCTTGTTTGCTGCTTGTTTCATAGCTATTGTGCCAGGGTACAGTAGCAGATCTGTGGCTGGCAGTTATGATAATGAGGGTATTGCCATATTTGCATTACAATTCACATATTATTTGTGGTTGAAGAGTATAAAGAGTGGGTCAATTTTCTGGTCTATTTGTACTGCACTGTCCTACTTTTACATGGTGAGTAATAAATAATATTTCATTGTAACCATTGTTGACTTTTTAATTTATTAATCTAAATGTTATATAAAATTTCTATCAAATTTTTTAATATTATATCCTTAGGTATCAGCATGGGGAGGCTATGTGTTTATCATCAATTTGATTCCACTTCATGTGTTTGTCTTGTTGATAATGGGTAGATTCTCACAAAGACTATTTGTCAGTTATAGTGTTTTCTACATTGTTGGTTTATTACTATCTATGCAAATTCCATTTGTTGGTTTCCAACCAATACGCACGAGTGAACACATGGCTGCATCAGGTAAAACACTTTTATATTTTATATGCCTTGAAAGTATTACTAATTATTTACAACAGTTGTTGTGCTGTTTGCACAAAAAATATTGGAAACAAAAATTTCTTGAAAAAAAAAACTGCAAGAAAAAAATCTGGAAAATTACAGTCACATTGTGAAACTTAATCTTATTGGAGTCTCTAATAATTTTCAATTGTTATAAGATCATTATTTTTTTATTATTTTGACTGCAATAATTCTATATGTGAATGGATACTGAAGTAAAATTTATTATCTAATTATAAAACTATATTATTATAGAGTTTGGTTTTATACTGCACACAACCAGTTGAAATAATGGCTTGATAAGATTTTATTAGTGTATTACCTTTATGTATACACTATTAAAATGCATTTGAGGTAGCATTTTACATGTTTGTGGATGGAAAAAGTTGAAATATTTTTTTATTTTATGCTACTCACATTTTAATCTTACTAATATTATAAATGTGAAAGTTGTTTGGATGGATGTTTGTTACTCAATCATGCCAGAATGGCTGAATGGATCCGGATGAATTGGCACAAAGTAGATTATAGTCTGGAATAGCACATAATATAGACCAATTGGAATCCATTTATTTTTAAGAGAAAGAAATATATGGAAAACCTGAAGTATTATGATTTTAAAATCTTAGCAGGTATATAAGGAATAGAAATTCGTAAAATGCCCCCGATGCTCAGCTACCCCTGATAAATGGGGGTACGCAAAGTGTTGAAAAAGTTATGTTTAATGTCCGGCTTATTGTGATGTTCTGTCGAAAAATGTTTTCTACAAAAGTTGTAGGTCTAGTAAAAATCTACAACTTTAATAACAGTATTCTTTTAACAAAAATTTTACAAATTATACATCTTTGCAAAATATTTAAAATGAACATGTTTTCAGGTGTATTTGCTTTGTTGATGGCAATTGGTGCATTAAAATATTTGCACAGTCTAAATCCAAAAGGGCAGTGGAAACAATTGTTAATACTGGGTGGATTGGTAGCTGCTGGCACGGTCTTCTTAGCAGTGGTTTTACTTACATATATGGGAGTAATTGCTCCTTGGAGTGGCAGGTCAGTCATTTTGATGGAATTTTCGTGGATAATAACTTTTTATGTTTTTGCTGTTTTTTAATTAAAACATAACTTAGTTATTCCTATATTTTAAAATAAGTAAATTTGCTGTCTTATTAGGAAAATCTGTATGTAAAATTCCACAGAAAAAAAATTAACAATTAAAAATGGAATTTGTTTTTCACAATACAATTTTAATGAAAATTTAAAATAAAAATTGCTGCAATAGTATATGATGAGTAATAACTAATAATAGTATTCATAAAAGAATTATTTCAATTCTATCCCATATTTTATACTAATTGTAAAAAAGTAAATATAAATAAAGTATTTTTGTATAGACATTTGAAATATTCCATGACAATAACAATCGAAACTATATGTACATACATAATTAATTTATAGAGCATTTAAAATGAATATAAGATACTATTTATTTATACTGTCTTGTTATAAAATTAGAGTTGCTAATTTCACCCTTTACCTACAATAAACAAACAATATTTAACAATACATATTCAATACCTAACGACTCTATTTCGGTTCGCTCGGGTTTGTCCTTAGCTGATTCTTTAAATTGACAAACTTTTTAGGGTTCTGTACCCAAAGGGTAAAACGGTACTCTATTAGGTACTAAGACTCCGCTGTCCGTCCGTCCTTCTGTCTGTCTGTCTGTCTGTCTGTCTGTCCGTCTATCACCAGTAATATATATACAGTTGAAATTTTCACAGATAATATATTGTTGTTGCCGCTATAACAACAAATACTAAAAAACAGAATAAAATAAATATTTAAGGGGGCTCTCAAACAACAAACATGATTTTTTTGCTTGTTTTTGCTCGATATTGATAACGGCAACAGGTAGACGCTTGAAATAATTGCAGAATATTTAGTTATATATTCACTTTAAAAATAAATAATTAAATTAAAATAAAACGAATATTTAAGGGGTGCTCCCGTACAACAAACGTGATTTTTTGCCGTTTTTATAGATAATGGTACGGAACCCTTCGTGCGCGAGTCCGATTCGCACTTGGCCGGTTTTTATTTATGGTTCATAAATTGAAATAACACTACAAAATATTTTTAACATCTTGTAAATGATTACCTAGTTTCTTATAGAAGCCTTATTGTATTTAAATTTATAATGGCTATAAAATTAGACTTGTTTCAATGAAATTTCTTAAATGCTTTAAGTTTGTAAACAAATAATGATGATGTTCTCCTGGCTGATTCCGGCCACGGCGGCCAATCTCATTGAGACTAGCCAACTGCACAGGAGATAATATAGTGCACAAGTGTACGCGCAGACACAAGTGCACTCTCTATTCCTGTCACTCTCATACTCCGGTGGAACGACTACTCGACACAACCAGTGAGAGTTAAGGCGCAGGACCGACGGCTTTACGTGCTCTCCGAGGCACGGGGGTGAAACACCGCTAACTTCCCAACTCCGGGCTGTTACTGGGACTTACTATACAGAAAGACTTAATAACTAAACTTGGCCCGACCCGGGACTCGAACCCAGGACCTCCGAGTGTGCAGCCGTACATGCTAGCCACTACCCCACCGAGGCAGTTAAAAACAAATAATACAACATACGAGTATATAAATATATCGATTTATTAAGATTAGATTTTTTATGAAATTTTATTTTTTAGTGTTCTTTCACATTCTTGATACTTACCATAATATTGGTTATCGTTGATGATTATTGTTATTTGTCGTTCTTTATTGTTACCGACATCCAAAAAAGAGGTTATTAATTTTTCGTAATCTTTTTTTATTATTTAACATTATTATTTTTGATCAGCATTGTGGATGTTCTTGTTCTACTCGAAAAGAATATAAAATTCCTGTTATTGTCGTTTGTTGGGAAAATATCTGTTATTCACTTATAAGAAAAGCCAACAATGGTAACATTCCGCCATCTTTTTTTTAAGCTTATGGCACACTATGGAACTGGTGTATACAAAACAAATAAATAATGTACCGAGAATATAATAGCCGAACGTGTCACGTTCCCGAGATATTTGAAGGTCTCATATGAAAACAATAATCATGAAAATGAACTCATTATACATATGTACATATGTTAACAGCCTTCATTACGAGCAAGGCAGTGGTAGCCCAGTGGTAAGGTTCTCGCTTGAGAAACCAAATGAAGCAAGTTCAAATCCCAGTTTTCGCACGACTAATGTTTTCATGTGCGAATCAATTCTATCATGATTAGCACTTGTCTTACCCTGACTGAACCTGAATCTCTGAGAGAACCGCTGCTTTCAAAAGATATGTGATATCCGCTTACCCACACTTGGCCAGCGTGGTGGATTATGCCCTTGGCCCGATCGCCCTCGTATTGAAGGGAGGTCCGTGCCCAGCAGTAAGACGTTAAAAAGGGCTAAATAATAGCCTTAAATAGTATTTAAAAAAATATTATTGTTTATCTCGAAATATCTCTGAAATGTGACACTATAGGGCGCCATATTGCATATATCATTTGTTTGTTAAACTGTCTTTTATCTATTTATACGAGTTTTATCGCGCGCCGTTACTTTGAAAAATAAATTAAAATTATTATTTTTAAATTTTTAATTTAATGAAAAAATTAAATTTTTATTTAATGGAAAATAAGTTAATATTAATATTGTTATTGCCAGCTCCGATAGAAAAATGTTCCAACCGCTTCCCTTTTACGTAAACGAATTTGAATTGTGTTTTTTAACTGTGTAAAATAGGTAAAATCCTAACTAACGATTTCGACACTTGTTACTATTTGTGTTTTAGTAAGTTTTTTATGGGTATGTGCATTTTATGATCTCTTACAGATTCTATTCATTGTGGGACACTGGTTATGCCAAAATCCATATCCCCATCATAGCGTCAGTGTCCGAGCACCAGCCGACCACGTGGTCGTCCTTCTTCTTCGACCTTCACGTGCTCGTGTGTACCTTCCCGGTAGGGCTCTGGTACTGCATCAAGAATATTAACGATGAGAGAGTTTTTGGTAAGTCTAAAGTCTAGTTTAAATTTGTAAAATAATTATATGAAATGTGTATATTTTTTATTGGAATAAAACGGTAAAGAAATGGCAAGATAATTGCAATTTTTGTAACTTTTTTATATTTGTTAAAGCGAAGTAGCTCACTAGTTTTCGATATAATTCAGACGCACATACTTAGATGTAGACAGATATTAAATAAAAGTTAATTGATATTGTTTAGCTATATGCGAGGATATAAGAAGGGAGTTTGAGATTAGTCCTGGATATGTCATTATTCATCCTTTTTTTTGTTAATATTTATAATGCCACAGTGTGTTTGTTGACTAATCCTTCTTTTTCATAATAATGGGTCACCGAATTAATGTGATTTTTACGTACAGTCGAAATGTGAAAAGTTCTACTTCTTGGCCCAGTTCGTTAAACTCCAAACTCCAATCGGATATTAGTATAAAAACAAAGTTCTTTGTTGAAAAGTTGTCTCGCCTCACTCGAGAAACACTTGACAACGTCTAGACTGATTTTTATTTTAAAATATTCAAATATTCGTAGTAGTCTGAATAATGTTTATAGAAAAAGAAAATGGAAAAAAATTCTCGAAAAAATGGAAAATTCGGTAAAACTAAAAATTTGAAAGCTTCATTCTATAGAACTTTTTTTTATGAACTCATCTCCCAAAACAAAAATTGCTAAGTAAAGTTTTCACAAAAACGTAAACATTATATGAAAAAGTTACTGATTTTATTCATTGATGAAAAATTAATATTGTTTTAATTTTTTATAGTGGCCTTATACGCACTAAGTGCGGTATACTTCGCGGGGGTGATGGTGCGTCTAATGTTGACATTGACGCCGGTGGTGTGTGTACTCGCCGGTATCGCCTTCTCTATACTGCTTGATTTAGTTCTGAGAGAGGATGACCTGCCTCCTGCGTCTGTTGAGGCAGATGACTCCAAGAATTTGTATGATAAGGTGAGCACTTAAGTATTTCGACGTTTCTCCAATCTTTGTTGTGATTAACCAAAAATCATAGTTGGATTTTACATAACCAAAATATAAGAAAAACAAAATGGTCGTAGGAAAGATATTAGGGTCGTTGTCGTAATCCAAACTTAATATTATAAATAAATGTCTGTTGTTAATCTTTTTATACTTGAACCGCAGATTTCAATAAAATCCGGCAAGGGCATACATATTATGTGACTGCATCATGGACAGACTAAGGCACCTTTAATCCTCATCCCACATCAATTATGATTAATATGGCAACATGAACATTATAGCCTACTAGCGTTGCCCGCGGCCCGCCCGCGTTAAGTGACTTAAAATCAAATTTTTAGTTTTTACATATAAGTATACTCTTACATTGCAGTTTTGTATTTTTTCTCAGAAATGAGACATTTTCCCGCGATAAAAAGTATCCTATATGTTGACCCGGATAACCAGCTATCACCATACCAAATTTCATCAAAATCCTTCCAGTGGTTTTTCTGTGATGCGGTAACAGACAGACAGACAAAAATTCTAAAAATTATAAATTCGGCCTCTGTATCGATAATAATGTTTATTTCAATAAGATTTTCCAAAAAATATTTAATGTACAGATTCGTCTTAGTTACAATTTTATTATATGTATAGATTTTTTAATTAAAAAAACAATTAAAAAAATTAAAATCGGCACATTCCTTAAAATACTCAATAAAACTCTACGGTTTTTGAACTCATAACTTTCCCACAGGCGGGTAAAATAAAGAAGCGTACACACGAGCCCGCGCCGCCCGCGGACTCCGGCCTCGGCATGAACGTGCGCTCGGGCACGCTCATCGGCTTCATGATACTGCTCATGCTGTTCTCCGTGCACTGCACCTGGGCCACCTCCAACGCTTACTCCAGCCCTAGTATTGTGTTGGCCAGCTACGGTAATGATGGGTGAGTGTCGTTAATCTAATATAATTATGCGTTTGAGCACAGATCACATAATATTATACAAGCCTCATCCCAGACAAAGAAATTGCACGGCCCTATTTCGAGCTATTCTTCATGTCGTTGATTCGCAAATAGTTAAACTGATTTATTTTATAAATATATGTAAATTAACGAATGGTGAATATTGTAAAATTCATTCCGCATTCGAATAAAAAAATCGGTGATTTTAACAATTTTTAACCGTGATAAACAATTCATAAAAAGTAAAAGCGCCATCTGTGAATATACACTACAAACCCATCATCTGATTGCTGATATTTCAATGATCAGTAAAGTAACGCAAATTTGATTTACTTATGTGTATTATTTCTTTTCCTTTCACTTAGAAATGTTTTTTAAAACAACCATGTACCTTTTGGGGATCTAATTTTTTACTTTTGTTCATTTAACACAATTTATTTTAATAACTAATCGATACATGTAACGTCATCTATAGTCAATTTTTTGAACAATTTTTTTTTTGTTTGTGATGAGACCCCACAGTTTTGGTAACTGACGATGGTCTTGTGGCTATGTAAGTGTGGCTAGTATATAAGGATGTAGATTTGGAAGTCCTAGATTTGAGTCTCGGGTGAGGTCAATTTGAGTTATTGAGACTTTCTGTTGAGAAAGTCTCAGTAAGAGCCCGTAGTTTGGAAGTTTAGGGTGTGCTCCTGCATCTGGCGCCTTTTGTTTCACCGGTAGTGCCTATTTGTCGTCCCGTCAGAGTATGAGAGTGACAGGAATAGTGAGGGCATTTGTGTCTGCGCGTATATTTGTGCACTATTGTATCTTCTGCCCAGTTGCCTAGTCTCAGTGAGATTGACCACTGTGGCCGAACTCAGTCAGAAGGATATGATATAATTGGGATTAGAAGCGGGCACGTCTCCAACCTAAAATAGATTTACTAGTTGAACCCGAATCTTTACTCACATTGACATTTTTACTGGTATTAGGCCAAAGGTAAAAATGAAGAAATGATTTTTTTAAAACCCCATTATCATTTTTAAATATTTCTTTGGTATAGGTCTCGGAAAATCCTTGATGACTTTAGAGAAGCATATGGCTGGCTTTCACAAAACACTGCCGAGGATGCCAGAATTATGTCTTGGTGGGATTACGGATATCAGGTAATTCACTCTACAGATACATCTGTTGTGACCCAAATGTAATCAAAAAATCTTCATGCTCTAGCATGAAGATTTTTTGATTACATTTGGGTTAGATAATAACACCTCCAGGTAAATTTCTAAGAAATTAATTAAAATTCTAAGAAATCTATTGTTAACTGACACGCCGGCGTGTCCGCGGTCCTGGATTAATTAAATCGTATTCGAGATAACGTTTTTTTAAAGCGTGATTTAGCTGATTACTACGTGCTTATAAATATGGAAAAGTTTTAAGAATATATAAAATGATCAGAAAACTGGTCATAATTGAGCAATGAGAATATTTTAAAGATGATTATATTGAATAATCCAATAAGTACGTTATCTTATAATATGAAATAAGCAACACTTGTAAATATAATATATATTTATATATACATTTATTTCGTGTATCTCAGAAACGGGTCTAACGATTTGGATTAAATTTCGTATTTAAAAAAAGTTTATCTATATAGGTATATTTTCTGAATAGGGAATATGCGTGTGATTTAAATAAAGGTGAAATATTTTTTTATAATCTTTATTGCTTTTGAATTAAGCCTACATTCATATTTTTGATAATTTCTCTTTGATTAAGAAAATAAAAATTCTAGTTATGTGAAAAGCAACGCCATTGGTCAGACCGAATATGATGTCAGCGTATATCATAACAGAGCGATTAGCGATTTTGTCGCTTACAAATTGTGTCCGCATTTTTCTGTGTATATCATCCTGTGACGTCACGCCAAGCGCGCGAAATGGCGAGCGTTTAAAGTATCCGTAACGGTATTATATTTAAAAAAAATACTAAATTATAGTTTTTTGGAGCTGGTATTTTTTTATAATTAGGTATATAACGTTGTAAGGTATTGTATAAAAAAAAAAAAAAATCATGCATATTCCCCATTAACTCAATTTTAAATCTTTCCGAAAAAACACGATACAAAAAAAACGCCAACCGAATCTGTCGTCCAGGTAATCTTAATCTAATTTTTATTAAATAACAGATAGCCGGTATGGGTAACAGGACGACTCTGGTCGACAACAACACATGGAATAACTCCCACATAGCGTTAGTAGGCAAAGCCATGGCGAGTAACGAGAGTGCCGCGTACAACATAATGACCATGCTGGACGTGGACTACGTATTGGTCATCTTCGGAGGAGCCATCGGGTATTCTGGTGATGACATCAACAAGTTCATCTGGATGGTGCGCATTGCTGAGGGAGAACATCCTAAGGATATACATGTGATTTTTTTTTTAATTTTCTTCTTTATGTTATAATAATAAATATGCTGTTTTCCTTTTTTTTATATAAAAGTAGATATGGTAGCTTTTGATTATATATTATTTTTGTTTTTACTTTTTTTTTTCTGGAAAAGTATTTTAAAATTGTAATATAATTTTAATTGTTTTAGGAAGCGGATTATTTCACAGAAAGAGGAGAATATAGAATAGATTCGGAAGCTTCGAAAACTATGTTGAATTGTCTCATGTATAAGTTATCATATTATAGGTAAGAATTTTTAAGTCTATAGAGACATTCTTTAGTATCTACAAAAAGAAAAAAAAATACTCTGTATTTTGATAAATGAACCCAAATCGATGTTTGATTGATATGATCTTCTGTTTGTATTATTGATGTGGAATCCCACAGGGTTAATGTTTTGTGACATCACTACTTATAATTAAAGTTTGTTTATTCGGGCTAATCTCCGAAACTACTATACGGATTTTCGTACGATTTCCACTAATAGAAAGAGTTAGTAGTAGACTAATAGAGATTATTTGGTGGATTTCTTGCCTAAAACAAATTATGATGATATTTGTGAATTAAGTCGGTAAAAGACTTCTCTTTTAAAGGTAATATGTGTAGTAAAAGTAATGGGGTAAACCTTTGGTACATATATGTTGCGGATGTCGATGAATGTAATATTACGTTTTCGCGATTCTCGTCCGCCATGGGCAGCGTGCTCGTGCGGCACAGTCGAGTGAGAAACCCTCGCACTACTGACTCACGTTATAATTTATAAATTATTCTCTAACAAATATGTTAACGCTATTGTCAAGTACCGTCATTCAACTGGACGACACGTTTGGCTCAGTTTGTAGTGACTACTTGCTATGCCAGCGTTCGCGGGTTCGAGTCCCGCTGGGGGCATTCATTTGTGTAACGAGCACAAATCTTTGTACTTCAGTCATGGATATTTATATTTATAATATTTATGTATTTAAAGTTATATATGTGTAGTGTTTCAACAATCTAGTATCCATAACAGAAGCTTCATTGCTCACCATGGAACCAGATGGCGTTGTGTGTTAATGTCCCAACATATTTATTTATTATTATTATTATTTTATTTAACTACCCTCAAAATCTATACTAATATTTTAAAGAGGTAAAGTTTGTGAGTTTGTGACGTTATAGGGGGTAATCTCTGCATCTACTGAACCGATTTAGATGAGGTAAGAAGATAGTTTGAGACCCTGGGAAGGACATAGGATACTTTTTATCCTGGAAATCATCCCTTAAGGGGGCGAAAACGGGGATGAAAATTTGTATGGGACCTAGGGACGTACCCGAGCGAAGCGAGGTGGGGTCGTCAGTTTATAATATTAGTATAGATTCTTTAACATATATATGAATTGCAGATACGACAGCGGAGGCAGTCCGTCGGGCTACGACCGCACGCGCGGCGCGCTGCCCGGACACCGCGGGTTCAAGCTCACCTACCTGGAGGAGGCCTACACCACCGAGCACTGGCTCGTCAGGATATACAGGTGTGCTATTTAGCTTTTTTGAAGTGAATATTCTTTACAATAGTTGTGATTTGAAACTCGATAAAACGGAAATGCGACACTAGAAAGAGACAACCACAAATATATTATATAGGTTTAAGCGGGCGCGAGAATGAGATAGAATACATTGTCATGATGCCATAATAATCATTGTTATTGTCTAAAAAATATATAATATTAATGAAAAATATATAATATAATATTATATAATACTAGTGACGTTAGGTCAAACCAAAGAATAAAAATCAAAAGTCGAAAGTTCTTATTGTGTAAACACAAATCCGAACTTACGCAGACCACATAAAGTACTTTTCTAAACAAAACAACGGGCGTTTTAATTTTGTCATCCGAAAAGCAATGAACAAAACAGATTTGAAAAAAGCGCATTTCAATTTCGAATTGTGCACTTCTTTTTGAGGACACTTTTGAGTAAGTAAGTAATAAGTAAATTATTAGACATTTTGCGACTAATAGTTGAAACGTCATGTACAGTGATAAAAAAAAAAGATCTTACATGCCCTATGAATTAAGAAAATATAATATGATGAATTTTGCAGAGTAAAGAAGCCTGACGAGTTCAACCGGCCGCGGCTGCCGCTGTCCAAGAGGTCGATATCCACCAGTAATAGTATTTCTAAAAAGGTAACGTATAAAGATCAACTACCCCATATAGCCATATTAATATTATAAATGCGAAAGTTTGTGAGGATGGATGGATGCTTGTTACTCATTTGCGCCAAAACGGCTGAACTCATCGGGATAAAATTTATAGAGATATAGATTATAGATCAAAGAAATTAGCTGAATTCATCAAGTGTGTCTGTAACTTTATTTTATATTCGGTTCAAGAGTTCTTGATAGCATTATTAGACGACAATAAATAAAAGAACAATACCTTGTTTATATCTAAAAACCTGCGAATTTTCATTTTTAATTATCTCTTGAGATGTTTTTCATATAAAATGATGCACTATAGTACACATTTAGTGGTACTTATTATATTTAATCATTAAATATTTAGTAGCTTATATATTGTTGGGTGTTTTTAATTAAAAATTTGAAGCTTAGAGTTAATAAACAAATTCTCTAAAGCAGTATCACATGGATACACCCACGTATAAAGTGGCACACGTACATATTATATCGAATACTGTCGAATAATGTTTATATCGAATGAATGATAAGTATACTGACATTATAAATATATATACAGAAGAATCATATATTTTTATATTTTGACGACACGTTTGACTCGATTTGTAGTGCCTACTTGCTATGTCAGAAGTCGCTAGTTCGAGTACCGCTGGGGGCATTCATTTGTGTGATAAACACGAATGTTTGTACTCCAGTCATGGTTGTTTATACTTATAATATGTATGTATTTAAAGTTACATATGTGTAGTGTATCAACTATCTGGTATCCAAAACACAAGCCCCGTAACCTTACGATGGAACTAGATGGTGCTGTGTGTTAATGTCCTAATATATAAAAATATGTATAGATTTAAATGTTCCATTTGATTGCAGCTGTCTTACGGTGTAGGACCGATGGTATAGTACAAAGTACCTATTCGTTTCATTGTGTTTTGATGTCGTGTATGCATAGAGTAGTGATAATGTTTGTTTTATTTGAACTTTTAACTAATTTTGTTACTTTTAGTAAACTCCAAATAGTCTTCGAAAGCTAAAATGTCAGAGTGGTACTAAAAACCCTTAATACAGATATAATGTGTACAAAATTACAACGAATATAGTACATTTTTATAATATAATATAATAAATTTTAACCATTTTGGTTAAAAACAGTAAAAAAAAATTAAATTAGGAAAGTTACATAAATTGGTGGGAAAAAATCTGCCTCGTTAATTACAGTGTCTTAGAATTATCGACGGCATATTATATGCCGGTCATAGTTAAAATGCTAAATTATAATTTAAAAATGCTAGTGTTTACATAAGGCATTATGAGATAAATTCATACACATATTTTATTTATTTATTTAAACTTTTTAGTTTGTTTAACTTTTATTATAAAGCAATATTGTATTGTAATTAAGGCATGGCTTAAATAAAATCTGAAAAAAATCATATTGTGTAATATTATATCAACTATTTGACTTTAAACCTAAAAAAATATTAAAAATCACTTCTTGCACGTGAAATAATAACTAAAACAAATTAACAGCACGTTAGTTTCGAATTAAACAATTTTACCTAAAACATATAAACATACAAACAAACATGTGCTATAATTATTTATTTTATATTTTATTACAGACATCGAAAAGGAGAAAAGGTTTGTTAAAGAACAAACCGACGCTAGTGAAGGGCAAGAAGATCGGCAAACTCGAGTGACGCAGTTAACGGCAACGCTCAGTGGTTAACATACAGTGTTCCTTGACATTACGAAAACGTGTTTCAAAGCAATAATAGCAATAATATACATTTTAAAGAATTGTTATTCATATTTTTTTTAACTTTTTTATGTGTCATATACATACATACATACATAGATAATACATATGAATATTTTTTTCATGCAAGGAATTGTGACATCACTATAATATGTCAAATTTGACGTTAGCTGTCCATTCAAAATTAGTGTGTTATTAAATAATAACAAAAAAAAGTGTGTACTTATGTAAGTAAGCACGTAAAAAGTTATACTTTTTGGGCGTAACAGAACAAAAATAGCTAAAGACTTCATCCCGTATGTCACAACTCTGTGTTTGTAAAAGGAATGCAGCTTCATCATGTCGCATTTTGGCCGTCGGGCGCATCGTAAAAATTTTACCCTAATATTTTTTTCCAAACTTGCCAAAAGAAGTATAATTTCAAAAATAATCAATTGATATATTTTAGAAATGACAAAAAACCTTGATTGTTGTCGACATAATGATTTAATCTGAATAGCAAATAATATTTGAATTACAAAATTCCATTTGTATGTTTTATACAAACAGATCATAAATGTTAATTATACTTTTTTGTTTATATCTTATATTCAAGATGATAACAGGATTGGTTATATGAGAATATTAATGCGTTTTTTCCCCTCGTTTAAAAATGTATTTGCAAAAATCAAGTCAATATACTTTTCACTAGATTAATAATTTTAATGAGAATTTTCAAGTTAAAAAAAAGTATATTGTAGTGAGACCGCGAAATTATTATTGGGAAATATTTTTACATTATTTGGCACATACATTTAATGTTTAGTTTAATATTTTAACTCTTAAAATAAAAAGAAGTGACTCATTAAAAGTAAATATTGCCAATCCTAATATAATTTTGGATATTATTACGTAAAATACCGATTTTTGGCCATGGCAGGTAATCTCACTAAGACCGTTTATCTGCCCAGGAGATATTATAATATAATAAAAGAAATTCTCCAAGGCATAGTGATGTATAACACTAAATCACAAATATAACACCAGCCTCCGAGATGATACTGACAATGTGACCAAACTATATAAGCCGAATCGAAAATCGAACCTGGGATCTTATGGATTTGGGATATACAGCCGTACAAAGCACTAGTGACTAAGAATCTAGGCATCTAGATAACATTATAATATGTGTGTTACTATGATTAAGTCTTAAATCTCTTAATTATAGAAGATACTTTTTGAATAAATTAACACTTAAACTACGTTTTATGTATATTTCGAAAGGTCAATGAACACTGCATGTGTTGTAACCACTGTTGCGAATATTCGACCTGTGACTGACACCAATTCTTTATGTAATATGTGGTCTTTTAGACGAATGTGTTTCTTGAATTTTAAAATTTTTTAGAAGAATATTATGTTTAAATTATTTTTCTTTGCACCTAATCACGTGGACATTGGCACTGGCTTAAATGAAAAAAATAATAATAATTTCTCAAACAATAACTCAATTTAAGGTGCTAATAATCATTTTCATCTTTATTCACTAGTCTTATTTATTTATTACCAACATGTATTGACGTTTGTCTATGATTTTTCATTATCATAATTGTTGACATTTATGCGTAGTCCACTGTAACAATCCAAATTATTTATATATGGCAACACCAGTTTATATATTATGTTCTTTTAGAAGGTAAAATTGTATTTATTTGGAGTGTATTTTTTGAATGGGCACCATGCACTTTTATTTGTAATAAAGAAAAAAATAATTGTAATACAATTAGTTTTTAACTAAACATGTTTCAACATCTTTAAAACCTCTTTTAAATAAATATATAAAAATGCCGCTCTTAGAAAGAATAGCACACATAATCCCAACTTAGTATTTCTTTTCAACCGACTTCTTCAAAAAGGAGGAGGTTCTCAGTTCGGCTGTATTTTTTTTTATTTGAAGTCGGTTGGTAAATTAATTTGCAAGCATTAAGTAGCGATCGACCCTAAAGCTTAAGTTACACTCATGATGTGTTTGCTTTTCTTTGTGTAACCCCTTGTTAAAACCCCTTGAAAAAACCATTGTCCATGTGAAGGTGTCTTATAATTGTTCAAAGAGGGTGTTTGTAATTACTACGTCCATTTGTATAATATTTAAATAGTTTTAAATATTATATTAGATTTATTTATCATTTTAACGCCGTGTTTATTGATGGACAATGTTGCCAGGTGTGTTGTTATTAAATTCAAAATATTGAAACGTTGAAATTTTATCTACAGTTGATAATTATTTTTCTACGAGAATAGCGAACGCCTGATAATTAATTAACAAATAATAATTGTCTATGAATATGTAGCACTGTACACTCGGTAGTGATGTTTTTTTTTTTTGTTTTTATTTGCATACATCTGGCAGCACTGATGAAAAGTTTACCTCGCTTTGTTTTCAGTACTTATCACAATAATTTAACCGTAAAACATGTTTTTTTTTTAATTTTTTTATACGATTAAGTCATAGCATAATGTCGAATGCAATAATATTTTTGGGACTGTATAAGGTATGTTGAAGTTATTGCAAGTGTGCTGGTCAACTTAATATTTAAATTTTGCATTTATTGTATAGTATCATTATTGATAGGTTATCTTATTGATTTCTTTTCATATCAATAAATTTGAAGTTTTAAAAAAAATATATTTTATCCTTAAATATCAAGAATTACATATTTGATACCTAAAAAGTCGGTGTGACTGAATTCTGAATGATTCACATATGAATTCTTAACTAAAAACAAATTAATATAAAAACTACTTAAACACATCATTTATAAACAAAAACTTATATTTGTAGATACTTGACGCCTACTGTACTTGTTAATGTTGGCCAGCAACGTAAGGTGTCTAGTTTATAATATGTCATTTTGGGATATTAAGCGTGGATTGTGTTCTAAGCTAAGAACGCTTTGGATACGTTGTAGGTTTGGTTTAGAAATGTTTAAGTAATGAAATATAAATATGATGATAAACGAGAAACGATTTTGACTGAAATAGTCAAATTATTTGGGCCTCATAATATTTTCTTAGATTTACGCGAATATTTGACTTTTAAATCAAACTGTCTTTTCAGATTTTTTCGTGGATTTATTTAGTTTTTTTTGTAACAATGATCTGAAAGGAAAATAAGGGTGCGTGATTGGTCAATGGACTTTTGAGTGGCTTAACCCAACTTTTATCCATTCAGCTGTTTTTTAACATGCTTTTGTTAAATAGCGTACCTTATATCTAATCAAATTTTAGAATCGATTTTTGCGTACTTTTGATGTATTGTAATATATTATATATGAATGACCATGCAAAAATTAAATATCATCGAGCTAATTTGATCAATGTTTCAGAGTTGGATATTCAATGGCTACAAACAAAACCGTCTTGTTTAATTGGATTCGTTTTGTGAATACAATGCATTACAACACTATTATTATGTAAAATGAGGTATTTACCATGTTTATCATGAAATTTCCCGACATTTATGCTCAGTTACAAGCGCCCATGGTTACGGGTATGACGGCTGATGACTGCGGGTGGAGTTAAAATTTTTTTTTTGGCAGACCATCTATCCTCTTTCTTGTTCGTTTTGTTAGTCCGTTACCGCTAAGGGCTACCACTGTCACATAAAAACTCGATTCGATTTCGACACAATTCAATGTATCAATTCGCGAACTTTTACTCGTACTTTTAAGATGTTGACACATTTGCCATTGCTTAGTGTTACTAAATATCCCGTTTTACATCATAATAATATTGTTAATGAATGATATCGATGAATGAAATGAAAATTTAAAGACTTACCACATTACAGTTGGCTAGAAATGTATTATTTTAGTTTTTTAGAACTGTTCTTTTAGATATTTGATAAACATTAATTGATTGATAAATAAGATTGAATAATAAATAAGATATTGAATGATTTTTAAAGATAAAGACTAAAAAGTAAGTAAAAATGTATTTGTAAAATTCGTATCCAAAGTGCGTTTTGGCCTAAACCATTATTGTGTTGGCAATAGTGTTGTCCCGTGAAAGTGAAGATGTTATAAGTTTTAATTTTATTGTTGCACAGCACTATATTTTGTTTTTCGTATATTACTTACAGAGTTTTATTGATGTATTAGTTTCATTGTAGCCTACAATGTTCTTAATAAACGGCTAAAAGATAATTATTTTTATTTAATAACAGCCTTCGTCACTACGTCACTTACCCTTGCCCACGCCTCTGTCCCCTTCTATATCTTCAGTTCCTCGATAAATTGATCAGATACAAGTGATTCTTTATATTTAAAGATTATTATTATATATTCGCTTTTTATATTAAAAAGCCAAATTTGTTTATGTCATTGTCTTGATTTTTTAAAAGTATTTTATGTTTTATTAGTTAGACTTGTCTGTTATTCAGTTCGTAGTAATAATTTTGAAGTCACACAAAATAAAGTAAGATACCTATTAATAATGAAAAATAAACTCATTTACTATCTATGCTCATACTAAAAGATTACCGACCGATTACAGAAGCCAAATTCAGTGTTATTGTATGTACAATTACGAATTCTATATTCTAAGAATACAAATACTAGCGGGTTACCCTCACTTCGCTCGGGTTCGTCCCTAGGTACGTTTTAACGGTTAGTATGGAATACATATATTATATGATATATAGCCTAAGTCTTCGTCAATAATTGGGCTATCTAATGCAACAATAATTTTTGAAATCTGATTAGTAGTTCCTGAGATTAGCGCGTACAAACAAACAAACTCTTTTATTTTTTTTAACGTTGGGAAATGCATTTACGCACGACGTGTGGGACTCACCGGCGTAATACAGCCAGTACTACCCACTAAAACCCAACAAAACCTTCCCCCGTCTTAATGGGGCGTCGCAGGATCGCTTACGCATTCAACGACGACGCCCCGACG